TCCCTCCCTCCCTCCCTCCCTCCACCCCCCCCCTCCCTCCATCCCTCCATCCATCCCTCCCTCTTTTCCTCCCTTTTCACCCCTCTCACTCCTCACCCCTCTCACTCCGCCATCTCCCCACCTCCACGACCCGCAGACGGGCGCATTCGCCTGGCGTCCTTCCTGCAGAGCAGTGGCGAGGTCACAGTGGGGTTGGTTCGTAAGCTCCCTCTTGTCACCCTCTCACCCCACTACCCTCTCACCCCTCTCACCTCTCTCTCCCCCACAGACGGGCGCATTCGCCTGGCGTCCTTCCAGCAGAGCAGTGGCGAGGTCACAGTGGGGGTGGTTCGAGACGCGCACATGTGGCCGCTGCATGAGTGCGTGCAGGAGCCTTCCTCCCTGCCCGCCTCCATCGACCTGCACTGCATGGCGTCAGTCATTGCTGCCTGGCAGGACATTCGTGCCCGGTGAGAGGGGACTGGGGTGAGGGCGGTGGGGCGTGGAGTGGGTAAGGGGGTGTGTTGAAGGCATTATCCTGCACTGCATGGCGTCAGTCATTGCTGCCTGGCAGGACACTCGTCCCAAGTGAGTGGGGTGAGTGGAGAAGGGTGGGGTGAGGGGAGTGGGGCGAGAGGAGTGGGGTGAGGAGAGAAAGGGTGAGACGAGTGGGGTGGAAAGATTCGGGTGAGGGGAATAAGTTGGGTGGATCCGCTTCTGAAGCCAAAGGAACGACAATGTCCCACTCACTTATGACAAATCTGTCTTTCTTGACACTCAAACCATTATGCTTTCAACTCAGCCACGCACAAGAAAAGTGCACATGTGAACCTGCACTGGCACGCACTGTGTGCATTTCCGCACTTGTGACTTTTGAGTCGACTCAAAAATAGACTAGAGCTTTCCCAGTCAACTAAAAAATGTGAGCCTGCACTGGCACTGTGTGCATCTTTGCACGATTGACTGTTTTCTGGACGTCTCAAAGCATTCCTGTACATTTCAAACTTGTAACTGTTTAGCTCCACTTCACCTTGCCTATTGCTTTTCTGCGGCGTGTGATAGCACCTGTCATCCCAATCTAAAGCCTTTCTGCCCTATGGTCCCCACATGCCCCTCCGAACCCATGTCGGGCAGGATAAACTTTGAGAAGCTGCCCGAGGGGCAGGGGCAGCTGCTGTCGGAAAGCCATCTGCTGGCACCGCTGCCCCGGCCTGCGGGAGCCATCATGTGCATTGGGAAGAATTATGAGGAGCATGTGAAGGAGGTGGACACGTGGAAGACTGCTCCTCACATCACCCAGCCCAGCATCCCCACTGTGAGTTTATCCCATGTACTAGCAGCAGTAGCACTGGCAGCTCTAGCAGCAGCAGCACTAGGCCCACTAGCAGCACTAGTTGCATCTGCAAGCATCTGCAACAGCATTGCCATCATGTGCATTGGGAAGAACTACGAGGAGCATGTGAAGGAGGTGGACACGTGGAAGACTGCTCCTCATATCACCCAACCCAGCATCCCCACTGTGAGTCCTGCTGCTGAGTCCTGAGGAGTGAGTCCTGCTCATCGTTACCTTCATCTCATCCTCCCTTCCCCTCTCCTCCCCCCCCCGTTGCCTCTCTTTAACCTCCTCCCCCCCTCCCTCCCCCACTCGTCCCTTGTTCTATCCAGCACCCCATTGTGTTCACCAAAGCACCCCAATCAGTGACAGGGCCCGGCACGGCCATCCTCATTCCCCACGGCCACTCAGAGGCTATCGACTACGAGGCAGGTGGGCGCTTTGCTGCAGGGGAGGTGGGTGTGGCGGGGGCAGGTGGGTGTGGCGGGGCAGGTGGGTGTGGCGGGGCAGGTGGGTGTGGCGGGGCAGGTGGGTGTGGCGGGGCAGGTGGGTGTGGCGGGGCAGGTGGGTGTGGCGGGGGCAGGTGGGTGTGGCGGGGGCAGCCACCCCTCTTCTGCATGCAGAGTCACAGCCCTCCTGCGTACTACCCAAGTCTCTGGCTGCTATGCAGGTGCGGGTTCCAAGGCAGCTGCCTTCTAAATCACATGTACATAAGAAAAGGCGATGTGACATGTGATGTGGAAGGCAGGCAGGTGGTCACAACACGGTTATTGTGATGACTTATTATCTTACCCAATGTTATGCACCCTCCTCCCTTTCATTCCTCTGACCCACCCCACGCTGCCTGTTTGTGAGTCAAATTGGGAGTGAGAATCTTGAAGAGTGCGCTCTATAACTTCAGTGTGAGATATCCCAACCAATCAGGTTTTTTCGCACGTATCGTAACCGCACCTTTGTGAAAATAACACAACCAAAATACCAATCGTGCAATCATCGTATTCCCATCGTCTGTCCCCGTCCCCCATCCCCATGGTCTATGCACAGAACTGGCAGTGATCATTGGGAAACCCGGTCGAGGCATCAAGGCAGAAGACGCCATGAGTCATGTCTTTGGGTGAGACCTGACGGAACTGATCCATACGATGTCTGCATCACTCGTGAGAATTCTCAGTAATGGCCAAAATAGAAAACGCCATGGGCCATGTCTTTGGGTACGGCCTGCTTGCGCTTGTCGCTGTTGCTTCTGAGGTGACTTCTGAGTCGACTCAAAAGTCACCTCGTTGGGTACGGCTTGCTTGCGCTTGTCGCTGTTGCTTCTGAAAACTCACAGAAGCGACACAAGCACCGGATGCCATGAACCATGTCTTTGGATAAGGTTAGCCTGCTGTTGTCACAATCTGTTTCTGAATGGTCTGAGCCTCATTATAGTGAAGCGAGCACAGGCCGTGGGGCAATGAAGGGTTGAAGGCGAGTGAGTTTGCACATTGAGTGGTCTAAGAATGATTCTGCTGGCTATGGCATACGTAGACAAACCGACATGAATTACGAGGACCGACTATCAATGGTGGAGCTTAGTGAAGCCGACTTTTAAGCCAACTTAAACCTTAGTGAAGCCTTTGAGCGTTCCGTTGCTCTGCGGAGTTGATGAGCTAGGGCCTTCACCATTTGCGACAGATTCACTGCTTACAACAAACTCTTGCCTCACCCCTGCTCCCACTGCCCCCTCGTATCCTCTTCCCCACCCAGCTACACCATTCTGAATGATGTGACGGCAAGAGACGTGCAGAAGCGGCACCAGCAGGTTTGCCCACTCCCTCTCATTCTCACTCTTAATTTCTAGCCAACGACCCTTACCTTCCCCCCTCTCCTCTCCTCCCCTCCCTCCCCCCCCCCCCGGCTGCCCGCTCGTCTCTCCATTCACACCCAGCTACACCATTCTGAATGATGTGACGGCAAGAGACGTGCAGAAGCGGCACCAGCAGGTTTGCCCACTCTTTGCCACTCCCTCTCCAACTCCCTCCCAATATCTCCCTCCCAATCCCTTCTCCATTCCGTTATCCCATGCGTATTCCCCAACTACCTCCTCCGTTCTCCCTTGATGCCAGCTTCTACCATTGAGCTTCTTTTCAAAAATCTTACAAGAAGTCAGGCGCCCTTGCCCGAGTCTTATTCATGTGTTTTCTGCCATGCCACGCCATGCCATGCCACGCCGTGCCACCCATGCCACAGCATGTCACCACGCCACTTCACTGCCACACCATGTCACTCCATGCCACACCGTTTATCTCACCGCATGCTGCCTGCATCGCATCCCATGTTGTGCCTCTGCAACACATTCCATCCTTCGCTCACTTCAGTGGTTCCTTGGCAAGAGTTGCGACACCTTCTGCCCCATGGGCCCTTGGATCGTACCAGCATCGGAGATCAACGGCCAGGATCTCCACATTCGCTGCTGGATCAACGATGAGCTCCGGCAGGTATTGAACCCACGACCCTCCAAAACCCACTGGCGCATGCATTGCCTGTATCCTTCTCCCTCCCCCTTCCCCCATCCCATATCCCCTCCCCCACTTCACTCGCCCCCCCTTCCCCTCATCTCACATCTGCCAGATTATCATCCCCATCCCACTCTCCGCTACCCTGTTTTTAAGCTTGGTTGTTGCTTCATTTGCCCTTCTCCCCTGTCCCCAGCCCCCCCAAACCCCCTCCACCTCACGGCTCATCCTCCCCATCCCTGCCCTCACCACCACCACCCCTTGCTTTGTTCCCTCATCTTATTTCCATCCTCCTTTCCTCCCTCCCTCCCTCCCTTCTCCACCTCCCCGTCCCCAACCCATCCCACCATGTGGGATGCGTGCACATCGCAGCTAATCTTCCCCAACCCTGCGCTCATATCCACCACCGCTTGCTGCTTTTCCCCTTCCGCCATCGCACTTTTCTTTCTGTTCCGTCCATCCTCCCTTCCTCCCCCTTCCTCCTTCCCTCTCTCCACCCTCCCAACCCCCTATGCCATGCATAACACACGCACCTCACAGCTCATCTTCCCCATCCCTGCCCTCACCACCACCACCCCTTGCATTGTTCCTTCATCTTATTTCCATCCTCCCTCCCTCCCCCTTCCCTCCCTTTCCCCCCTCTCCCGCATCCCAACCCCATCCACCAAGCAGAACGCACGCACCTCACAGCTAATCCTCCCCATCCCCACCCTCATCCCCACCCTCATCCCCACCCGCATCCCCACCCGCATCGCCACCCGCATCGCCACCCTAAGCCCTTCCCCCACCTTCCCCCCTTCCTCCCTTCCTCCTTGCCCCTCCCCCAACCCCCTCCACCAGCAGAACGCGCGCACCACACAGCTCGTCTTTCCCATCCCTGCAATCATCGCCACCATCTCTTTCTTTAGGCTCATCTCATTTCTTTCTTCGTCGCTTGCTTTGCCTTCCCGTCCCCCAAACCCCTCCACCAAGCAGAATGCGCGCACCACACAGCTCATCTTCCCCATCCCCACCCTCATCGCCACCATCTCTTGCCTTTCTCTCGGTTGCTCTTTCCATCCTCACTTCCTCTACCTCTCTCCCTCCCTATCCTCCCCAACCCCCATCCACCATTCAGAACGCGCGCACCACACAGCTAATCTTCCCCATCCCCACCCTCATCGCCACCATATCTGCTGGCATCACTCTGCAACCCGGCGATATCATTGCCACCGGCACGCCTGCAGGTGAGATCTGAGCACTGCTGGTGAGCGTAGAGACACCATGAGGTGAGCTCTCACATCCCCATCCCCCCGCTCATCGCCACCATCTCTGCCGGCAACACTCTGCAACCCGGCGACATCATTGCCACCGGCACCCCTGCTGGTGAGCACTCCTGCAGGTGAGCACTCCTGCAGGTGAGCACTCCTGCAGGTGAGCACTCCTGCAGGTGAGCACTCCTGCAGGTGAGCACTCCTGCAGGTGAGCACTCCTGCAGGTGAGCACTCCTGCAGGTGAGCACTCCTGCAGGTGAGCACTCCTGCAGGTGAGCTCTTGTCCCTGCAGGTGAGCTCTGAGCATTGCTGGTGAGCGTAGAGACACCATGAGGTGAGCTCTCACATCCTCATCCCCACATCTCATCCCCACATCTCATCCCCACATCTCATCGACACCATCTCTGCCGGCATCACTCTGCAACCCGGCGATATCATTGCCACCGGCACGCCTGCGGGTGAGCACTTACCCCTGCAGGTGACCTCTCGAGCTGCAGGTGAGCACCCCTGCAGGTGAGCTTTGACCTTTGAGACGTGTCACTTCCCCATCCCTGGGCTCATCGCCACCATCTCTGCCGGTATCACTCTGTAACCCGGCGACATCATTGCCACCGGCACCCCTGCAGGTGAGCACCCCTGCAGGTGAGCACCCCTGCTGGTAAGCTGTGAGCCGTACAGAGGAAAGGTGGGTCGGATGAAGGCACAGAACGCAGCCTGGCAGTCTGCGTGCCTTTTTCCCGTGTGGCACCCGCCACTCTACTTTGCGCTTTTCCTGCGCTGCACTGCCTACCTATCCGGAGTACCCGGTTCTTTGAAGCTATTCCACTTTAAACTCATCGTGCTCAACCATGCGTGCTTGCTTGCAGAACCCCTCCTTATATAGAGTCTAGATTCCTAGTTGACGTGCCTATAACGACAACATGCACTTTTCCCCAAGTGCACGGTTTTAAGTAAAGAGGGACACGTTCCGAATGGTTCTGTTCCGCATCCTTTGTCTCTCCCCTTCTGCGTCCCATCTCAGGCGTGGGTTCTGGCTTTGACCCGCCAAGGCATCTCAAGCACGGGGATTCAGTGCGCATTCAGATTGAGAATGTTGGGGAACTTACCAACCGCGTGGAGTGACCTCACCTGAATTGACTCCCAACCGTTGATCAATGAATGAACGTTGTTGGCCTGCGGACTCTGAATGGGAAATTGGCTCACAGAGTTGGTGAAAGTCAAGTTCATTGTTACGGTACCCGGGCTTGCAGTGGGAGGAGAGGTGAAGTGGTAAGCTCTGAAGACTGTATTTGCTGAACAGCGAGTCCAAACTACACCCACCAACCACAAATACGGTACCCTACCATAGGTGCCTGCCTCATTTGGTTGCGCTTCTAGGTGTATGCACCCAAGTTCCTGCTCCTTGGAGTGAAGTTCATGTGCTGTTTTGAACTACAGGTTTGCATGGGGCACACAGAGACTCTGGCTGCAGAAACTGTGGTATATAATGCTTCAGCACACACAATGCTATACATATATCGCCTGTCACAATGGCAATCAGCAGTGTTGCTAAGGTACAGACTCTGTTAGGACTTGCTTCTCTTCAACTCCTCTCTACTAACGTCGTCCTCCTTGTCTTGTTTCTCTCCATGCCTGTCTGAAGGCCCTCGCTCTTCTGCATCGACTATTTGATAGCCGTTGGCATATCTCTCCTGCTGCCGCATCTGAATAGCCTGCACATGCCCAATCTGGCCCTCTCCGCTGCCTCCAACCTCTCCACCACTTTTACTACCCTCTCTACCTTCTCTAACCTCGCCAGATTTGCCTGCACCGTTCTTAACTCCGGCATTGTCCCCTCCCCGGCCCTTCCTGTTCGCGAGTCGCTTCGCCTTGAGCTGCTCTCTGCACTCCGCGAGCGCCTCTCCCCGAAGGCCCTGACAGCTGAGGCCCTCCTGGTCCATGGAGATGGCGAAATACAGGTACACCGCGCATAGCACGACGAGTATCGCCATTGTTCGCAGCAGGTACTGGTGCCGCGCGAGTAACGCTCGCACGGACATGTCCACCTGACCCCCTCCCAAACTGCCGTGTCTCGCGACGCGAGACGCGAACGGCGAAGGAGACGCATTGATGCGGTCGGATGGAGGGTTCGGATTTAATGAGCTTAATTTAGCGGGAGAGGAATCAGAGATGGGTGGTGAGAGCGAGAATGCGGTTGGTTTGTTGCGATCCGGGCTCAGCGGCGCGTGGCGTCTGTAAATCTCTCCGCCGGGGGATGCTGCTGATATGGACGAAGCTAGCGACGGCCGGGTCTCATCCTGGTCTCGCAGCACGGGACTCCCCTCCGATGCTTGCTGGCCGCTGCTATTGCTACTGCTGCCGCCACCACGTAACAGCGAGCTAGCTGCCGACGACATGGAGAAGCTGCTACTCAGAGAAAGGCGAGGATGTCATAACCTGGATCATGTGAACTGGCTTGCGAAACGGGCTAGAAGCGGTGATAAGAACACTCTACAAATGACAAGTACGGCAGGTGGAGAAGGACGGGACAGGGCCGCGCGAAGTGCGGAATGCTGGGTTGGGTGGACGTGGAGCGGTGGTTGTTGGACTGGCTGCGAAAAGACAGGACAGTGTGCCAACGGTCGACGCGAAGTAAAAAAGTCAAGCTTACTTGTTACACGAGATTGGATGTACTTCAATATATAAAGGGAAACATTGGCTCTATCAATATGCAATTTTTCCTCTCTTCAACTTCTCTGACACCAGTGGCTAACTCTGCACTCCAAACCTACCATTTCTCAGTACTTAGTATGAAACGTGGTGTCTACCATTTACAGTATGTTCTGCCTACCCAGCATGTTCCCATCCAATCCATCCCATCAGAAACCCTTTCCCGTGCAACGGTTTTTGTTGCTCCTGCCTGGTTCCTTAGCACGCACCCCCATCGCAGAGAGCTTGCTCTGGTGTTCCATGGTGCCCTAACAGACTTCTGCAGCTCCCGGCAATGTGCACAAACTGCTTGGTCGGCCTGCTGCATCTGCGTCTGCTCCTGACAATTTCGTTCAGATGACAGGAAATCGACTCAAGTTCTTTCCGTTTGAGCATTGAGAGGCGAGGTGTTCTGCTGGCGCACTTCTGCAGCGGCTTTGAGCTCTTTGGCCTTCGCACGAAGAGCTTCAAGCATCTCCCGAATTTCAGCTTCGTCGTCCTCGAGGCTCACATTCCGCATCGAGTGCAAGTTCCTCGTCAGCGTTCCCTGCAATCTCCTGCCTTTGCTTGTGACGTTTGACGATGGTGGAGGCTCAAGCTCACCTGCACGAAACACCAAGTTGAGAGAGTCCGCTGATCGCGCTTAAGCCAGTAATTTTAAGAATACCAGTTTGGAAGTCTTCCTCTTCAGAGTTCTCCATATGCGTCCCCGGGACAAGCACACGGGGAAAAGTGTTTATTAGAAGGTAAGACGCGTACTGCGAGTAGTATTGTGCACTCTGACGAATTTGCACCTCCGTAATAATAAGGGATGATTCCAAGAGCATCATAGCCGCACTGCAGACAATGACGAGAAGTATAGGAATAAAAGAGCTTCGAAAACGGACTCGGATCATGGTGAAAGGGAAGCGGATGTGTACAAACTCTACGCAAGCAATAGCATGGAATGCCTACAAACAAATGGTTCTTTCTGGCACATTTCAGAGCCACGAAGGGAAGTCGCCAAATGAACTCATGCGTGTTCCAGTCGTGAGTTTGCACAGAGGGTCAAAACCGACTGGTCTAAACGCACACCAACGGGTTCACGAAACCTAGGAATGTACTACTGTAGCTGGTTCGTTCGGTGTACACTTCGCAACTGAGAGTGGTTCGCCTAGGCGTCTGGCCCTCCAGTTTCTCAACCTGGTTACTTTGTTGGCGTTTCGTTCACGGTGCACAAAGATTGGCGAAACCTCCGAGGAATCGTTAACATTAGAGGAACTTATGCGGACGGTGCAACCCCCAAGATCGAACACGTTGCGAACAACGACCAACTTCACATTTGACCAAGACTGGAACCATCAAGGACCCCTATGTAGCACAGCAACTACCTACTATCACTATGCCATACCGCTGACCAATTGACGCGAATTTGGCGAAGCATGCCGCAGCCACGTGTCCCGCTAGCGGACTCATCTCGCTTCAGGCTCGTGCCGCCATTCGTGGTCGGCATTGCCGTCGGAGCTTGCATGATTTTGCTCCAGCAGTCGCTTTCCTCCCGTCTAGCCGGCACAACCGCCGGCGACTGGCAGAATGATCACCCGCAGCCGACATACCGCCGCTATCCCTCATTTTCTTCCGAAAAAAGCGGCGAGAATCTCGCCGGACAAGATGGCGGCGGTGGTGAGACTCACGGCTCACCCTCCGCATCAGACGCCGCGAATGACGGCGTCAGAACCGGAGAGAGCAGCAGCGCGTACAATACGAGCGCGGGGATCGTGGCGGGGAAAGTGAACGTGCATCTGGTGCCGCACTCGCACGACGACCTGGGATGGCTCAACACGGTTGAACAGTACTATGTGAGAACAGTAGCGTCAGGACTCACCATTGATGACGCTCACCATAGCATTACAAGGCTGGCACCACTCACCACCAGTACAGTCTCTCCCCCCGCCTTCCTACACCGCCTAGTGGCTCCCCCCTCTTCCTTCAAATCGCATGGCGATGGGGGGGAATCCCCTTTCACTTCCATCTCCGCCTCCTCCGCCTCTTGCTCTCCCCCCTTCCCCCCACCTCCCTCTCCCCGTCCCCACCTCGCCCTTTAATAATACCGCATTCCTCTCAAACCCCTCAACTTGAACAAATGTATTTCAGTTACCGCCTTCACAGCATAATCACTCCCTCTGCCATCAGAAGAACATTACGCTACCATCGCCCCTTTTCTCCGTCTTCCGGCCACTCTTCCCTTCCCACCTTCCCTTCCCACCTTCCATTCCCACCTTCCCTTCCCACCTTCCATTCCCACCTTCCATTCCCCCACCCCAACCCTGGCATCAGATCACGGCCGTCCAGTTCATCCTAGAGACCGTGGTGGATCAGCTGGAGGCCAATCCCGACCGTCGATTCATCCAAGTGGAGCAGGTGACGTGGCAGAATGCGGCTGTAGCAACCGGTCCTCTCAATGTGACAGAATGGTTGTGAGGCATACGAGAGCAGAGGAGTCATGAGGAATCCGTGTACATGCATTTGTAGTACGTCCAGTCCAGAAGCCATGAATCTGGGACTCGAAAACTGATTTTGGGAGCTCCCTTTGAGCTCCCTTCGAACTTTGATGAGTTGCATCGCACAGTGCAACCATGAACCGTGACTCTCCCTCCTATACCAAAGCATCCTTTAACCCATATTAACGTGCAATCACGTGCGTATGTATGCCCATCCTTACAATGCTGCGTGCTCCTCCTCTGCGCCCACCATTTACGGCTGCCGTGTTACAGGGTTTCTTCTACCGCTGGTGGCAGCAGCAGTCGGAGGGTATGCGGCAGCGCGTGCGTGATCTCGTGCACTCAGGGCAGCTGGAGTTCATGTGAGTTGATCAGCTCTGTCCCTTGTTTGTGCCATGCCTTCGTAACGAGGTGACTTTTGAGTCGACTCAATAGTCTGCACGTGCGTGCTCTCGTGCACTCGCGACAGCTGGAGTTCATGTGAGTTGATGATTGATCAGCTCTGTCCCTTGTTTGTGCCATTGTAACGAGGTGACTTTTGAGTCCACCCAAAAGGCACCGCGCGGTGCTCCCATGCATGCAATCGGCCCATGCACTCGGGGCAGCTGGAGTTCATGTGAGTCAATCGGCTATTTCCTTTCGCAAGATCCTGGGATCCTGCCCTTCGTAGATTAATTTTTAGCAGTGTATGCGTTTTCTACCCTCCTCTGTCTTCCTTTACCCGCTGCTGCTCCCTGCTTGCTGCCCTCTGCATGGAGCAACGGCGGGTGGGTGATGCACGATGAGGCTGTGTGTCACTACAGGGACGTGCTGCACCACATGTCGCTGGGCCACCGCTTCCTCTCACGCCCTCCCCACGCCCCTGCTGCCCCCTTCTTGCTGCCCCATGTGTGCTGTCACCTGCGTGCAGCAACGGCGGGTGGGTGATGCACGATGAGGCAGTGTGCCACTACAGGGAAGTGCTGCACCACATGTCGCTGTGCTTACCGCCCCTTGTCCTCCCCGTGCCCCTGTCCCCCTTTGCTTACTCCCTCCTGCAGCAACGGCGGGTGAGTGATGCACGATGAAGCAGTCTGTCACTACAGGGACGTGCTGCACCACATGTCTCTGGCCACCGCTTCCTGCACCACTGGGCTTACTCCCCCAAGCGCTCTCCGTGCCTCTGCCAACCCATGTGTGCTGCCCTGTGCGTGCAGCAACGGCGGGTGGGTGATGCATGACGAGGCGGTGTGTCACTACAGGGACGTGCTGCACCACATGTCGCTGGGCCACCGCTTCCTGCGCCGCCACTTCAACGCCACACCAAGCATCGCCTGGCAGATCGACCCCTTCGGCCACTCCGCTACTCAAGCCAGCCTCATCACGGCTCAGGTATGGCCATGTGAAGGCTAATATAGTGTGCGTGGGGTGGGTGCGTTGCATGATGCATGTGGAGGCTCTTTAACGCCTCCCCCTCCATCGCCTGGCAGATCGACCCCTTCGGCCACTCCGCCATCCATGCTAGTCTCATCACCGCGCAGGTGCGCTGGGAGGAGGGCAGGGAAGGGAAGGCGTGGCATTGAATTGACTTAATGGGGTGTGGGCTGGTGCTCGGCCTTGCGTGATGCATTTGGTGGCGGTTCAACGCCGGGCGGGCTGGATGTGGTGTTATTTGCGCGGGCGGGCCATGAGGACATAGCGTGGCGCAAGCGGGAGAGGAGCAAGCGGTAAAAGAGCACTGATATGGGGGGTTTGAGTTGATGTGGTTTGAGGTGTGCCCCTTCTCTTTCAACCACTGCAGGGCGGGCTGCATGTGGTGTTCTTCGCACGGGCAGACTATAAGGATTTAGCGCGGCGCGAGCGGGAGAGAGGGGCTTGTTGGAGTAGGCAGGCAGGGAGAGAGGTTGGATGTGATGTGAGGCACCTCTTGCAGCTCTCAAGTCATGCATGTCTTTCTTCCTGCCATTGCAGGGCGGGCTGCACGCGGTGTTCTTCGCACGGGCGGACTATAAGGATTTAGCGCGGCGCGAGCGGGAGAGAGGGGCTTGTTGGAGTAGGCAGGCAGGGAGAGAGGTTGGATGTGATGTGAGGCACCTCTTGCAGCTCTCAAGTCACGCATGTCTTTCTTCCTGCCATTGCAGGGCGGGCTGCACGCGGTGTTCTTCGCACGGGCGGACTATAAGGACATAGCGCGGCGCAAGGGGGAGAGGAGCACCGAGTTTGTGTGGAGTGCCTCAAAGACTTTTGGCCGCCAGGCTGAGGTGAGAGTGAGTGAGTGGGTGAGTGAGTGAGTGTGCGCAACGTCTTACGTGTTATGTGTTACTGGGTTCCATGGTAATGTTCACTCTCTGTAGTGCAGAAATCTTGGATTTTCATACCGTGGGTGGGCGTTCAATGCATTTGGTTATGGGTTGGGCTGAAACGAGAGTTGTTGGGCCGAGACGAGAGTTGTTGGGCGGCGAGAGTTGTTGGGCGGCGAGAGTTGTTGGGCGGCGAGAGTTGTTGGGCTGAGGCGAGACGGAGGGTTCTCTATTTCCCTGGTGCTGGTGCAAATGAAGGAAATATTGCATTGGGAAGTTGCCTTAATGCGCCAGCCCATTCGTTTGCCCTTACTTTCACCCCAGCCACCATCTCCCCCTCTCTTCGTCGCTCCCCACCGATGCAAGCAGGTGTTTGCCGGTATTCTCTACTGGGATGGCTACTACGCCCCCGAGCCATTCCTGTCTAAGTTGTCTCAAATCTCACCCTCGCCACCCTCTCTCCTCTTCCTCCCATCCCCCCCGCCCCATCGGTGCAAGAGCAGGTGTTTGGAGGAATTCTCTCTTGGGACGGCTACTATGCCCCTCAGCCATTCCTGTTTGATGCGTCTCAGATCCCAACCCCTCCACCCACTCCCTCTTCTCGTCCCACCATCCCCCCCCTCCTACCGGTGCAAGAGCAGGTGTTTGCGGGAATTCTCTACTGGGACGGCTACTATGCTCCGGAGCCGTTCCGCTTCGAACCATACGACCCACTCACCAACCTCGTCAAGGTTCGTCCACTCACTACCTTTTAACTGCCCTGCCTTGGGTAGCTTCCTGAAACACGTGGGTGTAGTCACCCCCTTACTCGCCTTCCCCACCCACACGCACAACAACCCCATGTGAGACGGGCATAGATAGATGGGCTAGTAGTATAGAACACTATTGGCCAGTTTAGAAGTGCTTCTACCAGCGCCTGATTCAGAGTGGTTCTATACCATTAGCCCATCTACTTATGCCCTCTCGCACAACATGGTAATTTCCCCACAGGACAACCCTTACAAGGCTGGAGCCAACATATTGAGCTAGTGGACCAGTCGGCACCACTCGGATAACACCTTGAACCAGTCAGACGCTGACTCAAAGCGGTACTATCAACCCACCTTTGAGGCTACGCCCCCTACCCGTACCCAACTTGCCCTTCCACAGGACGACCCATACCAGCCAGACGCCAACGTAGAGCAGCAGTTGGTGGAGAGGAGTCGTTTGTGAACCGGCCATTGACCAAGAGCTGTTTCACTAGCCCCCACAGGACGCCCCATTACCCACCGTTCCCCCCCTCCCCTTAACAAAACGACCCATACAAAGCAGACGCCAATGTAGTGCAGCTGGTGGAAACGTTTGTGTACCGGCCGCTGACGCAGAGTGGTTTATTTCACTAGCCCCCACCTTCGCCCCATTACCCAACTCTGCCACCCTCCCCACCCCAACCTCTTTGACAGGACCACCCGTATGAAGCAGACGCCAATGTGGTGCAGCTGGTAGAGACGTTTGTGAACAAGTCTCTGACGCAGGCTGGTTTCACTAGCCCCCACCTTCGCCCCATTACCCAGCTCCGTCACCCCCCCTCCCCCACTCCTCCTGCAGGACGACCCGTATGAAGCAGATGCCAACATAGTGCAGCTGGTAGAGACGTTTGTGAACAAGTCGTTGTCTCAGGGGGGCAACACTAGCCCCTCCCAGTTCCCTCACCCAACTTCCTCCCTCCCCCTTTGACAGGACGACCCGTATGAGGCTGATGCGAACATAGTGCAGCTGGTAGAGAGTCGCTGACCCAGGCGGGTGACTCGCGCAGTGAGCATGTGATGTGGGCCATGGGGGAGAACGGCCCATACTGAGAAGATGCCTCTAACATACATCCCCACCTGTGCCGCCTTCTCCAACCTCCCCTCCGACAGGACAACCCATACGAGGCCGACGCCAACATAGTGCAGCTGGTAGAGACGTTTGTGAACCGGTCGCTGACTCAGGCAGGTGACACGCGCAGCGAGCATGTGATGTGGGCCATGGGGGAGGACTTCTCGCACTCCAATGCTGCTCTGTGGTTCAAGAACCTGGACAAGTTGATTCACTACGTGAACCTGGTAGGTATGGGCTTGTATGGTGGTCTGATGGTATCACATGGCACTACGACGAGCATGTGATGTGGGCCATGGGTGGGGACTTCAGACCAACTCCAATGCTGCCCTGTGGTTTGAGAACATGGACAAACTCGTTCACTACGTCAACCTGGTATGGGGTGTGGTGTGGTGTGGTGTGGTGTGGTGTGGTGTGGTGTGGTGTGGTGTGGTGTGGTGTGGTGTGATGTGAGGCCTATGCCAATGCTGCCCTGTGGTTCAAGAGCATGGACAAGCTCGTTCACTATGTCAACCTGGTATGGCCTGATATGGTATGGCATGGCATGGTGCAGCGGGATACATTCACATGCCTATGCTTCCCTGTGGTTCAAGAAGAACAAGGGTCAAGCTCGTTTACTATGTGAACCTGGTATGGGCTCATATGATGGTATTCTGGTGCAGCGTGATACACATGCCATGCCAATGCTGCCCTGTGGTTCAAGAGCATGGACAAGCTCGTTCACCATGTCAACCTGGTATGGTATGGCCTTATATGGTATGGCCTTATATGGTATGGCCTGATATGGTATGGACCGTATGGCATGGTGCAGCATACTACACATACCAATGCCGCCCTGTGGTTCAAGAGCATGGACAAGCTCGTTCACTATGTCAATTTGGTATGGTATGGTGTGGCGTGGCCATGGCATATGGTATGGACATGGCATAGTGTGGCGTGGATTCACTGTGTAGCATAATGTACATTCCAATCCAATGCTACCCTGGGCTGAGGTTCTCGAACCTGCGCTCGCTCGTTATGTACGTCAACCTGGCATGGCGTGTTGTGAAATCACATGGCACGGTGCATATCTCAACGCTGGTTTGGTGCGGCATGGCAAACTAACCTTCTCCATCCGCCCCTTCTCCTCTCTTCCCGTATGCGTGCATCACTGCCGCTACCCCTAAACAGGATGGGCGTGTGAACGCCCTGTACTCCACGCCCTCACTCTACCTGCATGCCAAGCACCGCAGCAATCTGTCATGGCCCCTCAAGGAGGGCGACTTCTTCCCGTGAGTGGCCCTCCCTCCGTGCTCCTTCCATGTGGTTCTTATAGCATGGTGCCATGGCCCTGTGGTTCGCCAAGGCTCATATTGTATTGTACCTTGACAAGGCCAGTGCCTTGTATTGTATTGTATTGTGCCTTGTCCCATTTTGTGGCATGCCTGACGGCCTAACTGCCTGACCCTGACGGCCTGACTGCCTGACCCTGACCTGACGGCCTGACTGCCTGACTGCCCGGCTTTCGAGGGCTGCGAGGCATCTCGAATGGAAGATCGCTCCTTCCTTTCTCTCTTTGCGTTGTCTGGCATGGCATGGCATGGCAGGTACGCGAGTGCTTCGAGAGAGTACTGGACCGGCTACTACTCAAGCCGCCCGGCCTTCAAGGGCTATGCCCGCATGTGCAGCAGCCTGCTGCAGGTGAGTTGACCTGCTGCTGACATATCAATCTCCGCTTTGCATCCCCAAGGCGCTGCGAAACCACAGGTTTTGAACCAGTTCTTAGCCTGAACAGGTTTTGGGCCGCCTCAACAGCCCTAGCCCTGAAGGGCACTCCACGTCATTTCCTTCCTCTACCCTTCCACCCTCACGCTGTCTGTCGTGCAAGCAGCCATCTACTGGAAGCATCTCTCGCCATACTGGCGGGCCAGGAGAACCTGCAAGCATGGGGCAACAGCATGTCTCGCCTTGTGGTGCCCGTGCTACTGTCAACCAACCTCACCGCCATCCACGCCCCCGCGCCCCTGCCCTCTCTCATAACCTTCCTTCTCATCTAACTGTCTGTTTTTTAGCGCCTTCTCGATGCTGTTCCCTGCAGGCAGCCACTCTACTTGAAGCATCAGTGGGCCAGGGAAACCTGCAAGCATGGGGCAACCAAACCTCACGTCTCGTGGTGCCCGTGCTGCTCTCCTCCAACCTCACCACCATCCACGCCCCAGCGCCCCCGCCGTTCCGCCTCGCGTCTACTTTTCCTCTGGAGGAGGCAGTGGCAGTGGCACAGCACCATGACGCCATCACGGGCACGGCAAAGCAGCATGTGAATGACGACTACACGCTGCAGCTCTATAAGGGCGCCCAGGAGGTAGGGCGTAAGGGGGGGGGTGGGTAGGGTGGGGGGGTGGGGATCACCAGGGATGGGTGGTGGCAGTGGCACAGCACCATGATGCCATCACAGGCACGGCAAAGCAGCACGTGAATGATGACTACACGCTGCAGCTCTATAAGGGAGCACAGGAGGTGAGGGAAAGGAACGAGTGGAAGGAAAAGGGGTGTCATGGCATGGGGTAGGGGACATCAGGAACGGATGAGGCAGTGGCAGTGGCACAGCACCATGATGCCATTACTGGCACGGCAAAGCAGCACGTGAATGATGATTACACGCTGCAGCTGTACAGTGGCGCGCAGGAGGTGAGAGGAGGGAACGAGTGGATGGATGGATGGGGGGGCTGTTGGTGGGATAGGGACCATCTGGAACTGATGGGGCAGTGCCAGTGGCAGTGGCACAGCAGTTTGACGCCATCACGGGCACGGCACGGCAGCACGTGACCAATGGCTACACGCTGCAGCTGTATATGGGAGCACAGGAGGTGTGGTGTTGTGAATAGGAGACAACCCTAACCCCCCTACCTCCCGCCGCCGTTCTTCTTCGCTCCCTTCCAAACCCTATTCACGTCCCATCCCCGACCCAGGCATCTGTTATAATGACCTCGTCTCTCACGCACCTCTTCACTCAGGGAGGGCTGGACCTCCAACCTACTGCTGCTACTCCTACACCCCGTGCGCTTCTTATCCCTCCTATCCCATGCTGCAGGCATCTGTAATAGTGACCTCGTCGCTCACGCACCTCATCACTCGGGGCACTTTGGACCTCAACCTGAAACCCACCGCTTCCGGTACTCCTGCACCCATGCACCTTTGATCCCTCTGTCCCCCTATCCCAGGCATCTGTATTACTGGCCTCGTCCCTCACGCACCTCATCACTTGGGGAGCTCTGGACCTCAAACTCCCCGCTGCCGCCACTCCCGCTGCTCCTGCTGCTCGCTCCACAGGCCAACCTGCTGCTCCTGTGCCTTTGGAAGGCACCGAAGCGCTCTATAACGAGACAGGGAAAACGGGCAGTGCAGGCAGGGACGATGTGCTGAGGCTTGGCCTCGACTTCCAGCTGGTAATGAGACAGGCAATGTGATTGTTTTCTAATGAAAGGTCCATTCGAGGCAATGTGATTGTCAGTGTCCCGTCCTTACGAGTTGACTTTTGAGTCGACTCAAAAGTCAACACAATGTGTCGAGACTTGGTCTCGACTACCAGCTGGTAAGGAGAGAGGCAGTGTGAGTGACAGACAGTGTCCCATCCTTGTCAATCATTCTGTCTTTGTGGGTTGCTCAGCACTACACTCAACTCAATGTACCAGCATGTGCCACATCCTCCACCTCTCCTCCTCTCCTCCTCTCCACCTCTCCTCCTCTCTTCCTCTTCCCTTCACGCCCTTCTTCCCTTCCATCCCGCACTGCAGTGCCCGTTGCTCAACATCTCCTACTGCCCACCCACACACAGCCCCATTCCTCCTGGCACCACGCTGGTACTGCTGCTCCGAACCACCCACCCACATGGCAGCATGACTGTTTCCACCCTGCGTCTTTCACTTTTTTCCGCATGTGCTGAGCGATCACGTATGCATGCTTCAGAGATGCTGTAATGGTTCCGCCCCGTGTCATCTAACTACCCAAGCTGGCTCACTTCAGATAGGATTTATTGTACTCAAGGAGTGAGTGAGTGAGCGGTCATGACTTGCCTGCATACGGCCCTTGACCAACAATCACCTGTAGGCACGGGCACAGGCCTGCAGGCAAGGCATGGCCCTTGCCTGTGCAAGGGCCACCTGTAGTCATGGGTATTGTAACTTATGAGGTGCTGTGCTCGTCATACAACCAGCTCATATTAATGGGCACGCCATAATTATGAACAGTGTTTGGTTCGCCGAACGGCCATGTTCGTGCAAGGGCGAACGCGAACATGTTCGTGTTCGCCCTTTGCTCACCCCTAGACTCACCCAATACCCATAAGCCCCTTCCATACCCATCCCCATAACCATATGCTCACCCCATACCCATATGTCCACCCCATGCCCACACAACCCTCACATGCCCATGCCCACCCAGGTCATTGCTGCATACAACCCACTCGGTTGGGCTCGAGACGAGATCATCCGCATTCCTGTGAGTTGGGATCCACAAGTGAAACGGAATGGAGCCATCGTTGGTGGCTCGTTGGTGGCGCATTTCATTTTTCCGCACATCGTTGCTCTTTCTCCCTGTTCTTCCTACTTTTGTTGCCCACTCACATCCACTTCCCCCCCCACTCAAAACCCCTCCATTTTCTTCTCTTCCTTTCCCACCATTCCCCCTTCCGCCTCCTGCTTTTGTTTGTTTTTCTCTCTAAAACCCACACTTTGCCATCTCCCACCTCTCCACCACCTTCCTTCCCGCCACACCTTCCCATTTCTCCTCCAATCCAAGCATCCTCCCTTTCAGTCACTTAACCGGATGCTCAGCAGCACATCACTAGTCCCTCGCCAGTCTCGTCCTGAAGTCCTACCATCCTTTCTCTTGTCATGTTCAATAGCACAATTCACTCCTCTCCTTCTGGTGTTTTGTTTTTCAGGTATCGTCCCCTTCAGTCATTGTGACTGATGACCGTGGTAACGTGGTTCCCTCACAGGCCATTCCCGAGGTCCTGGTGCCATGGGAAACCCGAAAGAGGTACATCAGCGTGCAGATGGGTGAGGAGGCTGTGAAGGGGGGCGAAGAGGGGTTGTGGGGGGTTGAGGAGAAGGTGGAAGGTAGTGAGGAGGGGGTGAGAGGAGGCAAGGAGAAGCGAGGGAGGGAGGTAGGGGAGGTGCAACAGCAGCAGCAGCACCAGCAGCAGGAGGAGGAGCGGGAGGAGCAGCCGCAGCAGAAGAAGAAGCAGCAGCAGAAGCAGCAACAGCAGAAGCCACAGAAGCAGCAACAGAAGAAGCCGCGGCAGCAGCAGCAGCAGCAGCAGGCGAGGTGGTGTCAGTGGTATTCCGTGCCAGGGTGCCACCCCTCGGCTACTCCACCTTCTTCCTCACCCCAGCCCCCCCTAACACCCCCGGCACTGCAGCCAAGAGCACGGAGTGGCACGCTCGTGTGCAGCCGGGAACAGGGGCCGGGGAGTGGGGAAAAGGGGAGGAGGAGGCGGGTGGCGGGGAGGAGGAGGGAGGAGAGAGGGGAGAGGGTAAGGAGGAGAGTGAAGGAGGGGAGGAGGGGGAGGGGGTGGAGAGAGGGAGTGTGGTGGTGGAGGAGAAGGGTGAAGGGGTTAGTGGTGGAGATGTGATTGTGCTGGGAGGGTGGAATGGCGAGGTTGCTAGTGGTCCCAGTGGTGCTGCTGCTGATGGTGCTGCTGCTGCTGGTGATGGGAAGGGTGGTGATAGCACTTTCTCTACTCCACAGACGGCAGCACTGCGGGTGCTCTTCTCCAAGGCAGGATACGGAATGACTCGCCTGCAACTGCTTGGCTGCAGCCAGGAGGGAAACGAAACAGTGGTAAGATGCCCTGCCTGGCTGCCAAGCCAACCAGTTTTCCTAAGTGCATTGCTTTCTCTTCCATTTTTGCTTTCCGTCTTCTTCTGCTCTTGGTTTCCATTCCCTAGCCCCTCTTACAGCCCCTCTTGCATCTGTTTATCCATGCTGTATTGCTTTGCTCTTTGCATCATCATCCTTCCGTTCTGTTGTTTCAGCTTTCAGACAAGCAAGTGGGCACAGGCATGGGTGTCTACGTTTCAAAAACTGTGCGTACATGGGTGCCTGCCTACACCTACATATTACTGTGCTCACCTGCTCTCCTCCTTCTCACCTCACCTCCCTCTGCTGTTCCACTGTACCACTCTAAACTCCTTGCAGTATCCCTTTTCCTCCGTATTTTCTTCTTTTATTTATTTTCCATTCATGTCAATCTGATCCCTTCTGTCAATGCCACTCCATCACGCGATTCTCATCTGATCCCACACGTTTCTCGTTTCATGCCATCACCATGGCATGCAGCAGAGTCATGCATTGTCAACCCCCTGCCTGCCATTCCCGTCGCCCATGCCTCTTGCACAGCATTGATGCTGATGCTCTCTAACTCGCTACTCTTCCCCCACTGACCCGCCATTGCATGCCACCACCTCCCCACCTTCCCGCATGGCATGGCATGGCATGGCATGGCATGGCATGGCATGATGGCATGGCATGGCATGGCATGGCATCGCGTGACATGGCATTGCACTGAATGGCGTGGCGTGGCATGGCGTGGCGTGGCGTGGAATGGCATGGCATGGCATGGCATGGCATGGAATGGCATGGCATGGAATGGCGTGGAATGGCGTGGAATGGCATGGCGTGGCATGGCATGGCATGGCATGGCAGCAGGGGCATACATCTTCAACCCCCCACATGCAGCCACATCAGCCCAGAACATGAGCCAACAGGCAAGTGTCGGCAGCGCTAGGAGGAGCACACCAAAGTTTCTCTCAAAAACAACGCACAGGACGTTTTTTGAGGCGCCTCAAAACGATTTTTCTTTTTTTTTTTTGAAGTGCCTCAAAACGGTTTTTTATTTTTGAAGCGCTTCAAGAAGCGCTAGGAGCAGCACACCAAAGATCCTCTCAAAAACAACGCACAGGACGCTTACAACATGCATGCACCGAGTGTGTTTTGAGTCGACTCAAAACACACTAGGAGGAGCACCACACCAGAGATTCTCTCAAAAACAACGCACGGGATGCTTTCAACGTGCATGCACTGACACCCAGCTTGCACTGTCACAGTCGATGGCATGGCAGAGCAAGCTAGCGCACACAATGCACCCTTACATTCGGCCCGACTTGCACTCTAAACCCGACTAGAGCAACCTCACTGACACACTCAGCGCCATGTCATGCTCATCCCTGCACTCATCTTGCACTCATCCCTGCACTCACCCCCCCACTCATCCTTCCCTGCATTCACTCCCTTCTCTCACCACCGCAGGTGCCGATCCGAGTGCAGCGAGGGCCGCTAGTGGAGGAGTTTCACCGAACACTGGCGCCCTGGCTGTCCGAGGTGGGTGGGTGGCACAGGTGGGTGGCTGGCACAGGTGGGTGGCTGGCACAGGTGGGTGGCTGGCACTGGTGGGTGGCTGGCACAGGTGGGTGGGTGGCACAGGTGGGTGGCTGGCACAGGTGGGTGGCTGGCACAGGTGGGTGGGTGGCAGAGGTGGGTGGGTGGCAGAGTTGGGTGGGTGGCAGAGGTGGGTGGGTGGCAGAGGTGGGTGGGTGGCAGAGGTGGGTGGGTGGCAGAGGTGGGTGGGTGGCAGAGGTGGGTGGGTGGCTGGCATAGGTGGGTGGCTGGCAAACGGGTGGGCTGGCAGGGTTGAGCTGGTCGCGTGCTAGTTGGTGAGGTCCCTTCTTTGGGGGCCAGTCCGAGTGCTGCGAGGGCCGCTAGTGGAGGAGTTTCACAGATCACTGGCACCCTGGTTGTACGAGGTGGGTGGCTGGGGTGGGCGGCTGTCAGGGGTGGGCGGCTGTCAGGGGTGGGCGGCTGTCAGGGGTGGGCGGCTGTCAGTCAGAGATGAGTGAGTTGGTGTGCTAGCTGACAACGTATCTGCTGCCTCAGCAACTCTTACTTGCACCATGTGTTTTCCTTTCTTTCTGCTGATAGAGTATGGCACTCACTGGTACGGGCAGTGCAGCACTGCAATGCAACGTGTCCGACAGTGACCCTGGCTGGTGTGGACGGGACGGCACTGAGATGCCATTTCTGTCTCTCTCCACTGCCCTGCAACCCGCGTGGCTTGCCTTGCAGGTCATTCGCGTGTATCCAGGGCAGGACTATGCGGAGATTGAGGCATTACATGGTGAGATGCATTACATGGTGAGATGCATTACATGGTGAGATGCATTACATGGTGAGATGCATTACATGGTGAGATGCATTACATGGTGAGATGCATTACATGGTGAGATGCATTACATGGTGAGATGCATTACATGGTGAGATGCATTACATGGTGAGATGCATTACATGGTGAGATGCATTACATGGTGAGATGCATTACATGGTGAGATGCATTACATGGTGAGATGCATTACATGGTGAGATGCATTACATGGTGAGATGCATTACATGGTGAGATGCATTACATGGTGAGATGCATTACATGGTGAGATGCATTACATGGTGAGATGCATTACATGGTGAGATGCATTACATGGTGAGATGCATTACATGGTGAGATGCATTACATGGTGAGATGCATTACATGGTGAGATGCATTACATGGTGAGATGCATTACATGGTGAGATGCATTACATGGTGAGATGCATTACATGGTGAGATGCATTACATGGTGAGATGCATTACATGGTGAGATGCATTACATGGTGAGATGCATTACATGGTGAGATGCATTACATGGTGAGATGCATTACATGGTGAGATGCATTACATGGTGAGATGCATTACATGGTGAGATGCATTACATGGTGAGATGCATTACATGGTGAGATGCATTACATGGTGAGATGCATTACATGGTGAGATGCATTACATGGTGAGATGCATTACATGGTGAGATGCATTACATGGTGAGATGCATTACATGGTGAGATGCATTACATGGTGAGATGCATTACATGGTGAGATGCATTACATGGTGAGATGCATTACATGGTGAGATGCATTACATGGTGAGATGCATTACATGGTGAGATGCATTACATGGTGAGATGCATTACATGGTGAGATGCATTACATGGTGAGATGCATTACATGGTGAGATGCATTACATGGTGAGATGCATTACATGGTGAGATGCATTACATGGTGAGATGCATTACATGGTGAGATGCATTACATGGTGAGATGCATTACATGGTGAGATGCATTACATGGTGAGATGCATTACATGGTGAGATGCATTACATGGTGAGATGCATTACATGGTGAGATGCATTACATGGTGAGATGCATTACATGGTGAGATGCATTACATGGTGAGATGCATTACATGGTGAGATGCATTACATGGTGAGATGCATTACATGGTGAGATGCATTACATGGTGAGATGCATTACATGGTGAGATGCATTACATGGTGAGATGCATTACATGGTGAGATGCATTACATGGTGAGATGCATTACATGGTGAGATGCATTACATGGTGAGATGCATTACATGGTGAGATGCATTACATGGTGAGATGCATTACATGGTGAGATGCATTACATGGTGAGATGCATTACATGGTCAGTGAGCCATGGTAGTGCAAACTATGCCACCTCATCAACCAGTGTAACAAGTTACCATGTAACAGGCAGGACATGACCTACTTATAGTCTGTAGTAGACGTCGAATCCACCATCGCGTCAAAGGGGCAGGCTCGAATTATCTGCTGACGAGCTTTATGCTTCCCAAAGGCAGACGAGCACTAGGCTTTATGCACTAGGCTGACGAGCTTTATGCTTCCCAAAGGCATCTTAATAGATATTCTCATCCTAGTGATATTCTCATCCTAGTGACCAATGCATATGCACTTAGCCTCATTGCTTCAAGTGTTCGTTTTGTCGCAGGCGTTCTCAAAAAACGCCCCCAACACCAGGTAATATCAAAATGACTATTCTAGGCGCATAAAAAGTTGAGAGTTTTAAAGAGTCCATCCCCAACCCCTTGATAATCCCAACCTTCCTGCTTCCGTGCAATCCGTGCCATGAATGCATGCGTGCGTATCACCATCAGGTGGGGCCTCTGGCCAGGAAGCTGTAAAGTGTCTGAGAAAACTCAACAATCCACCCCAACCACTCCGCCCCACCCCTTCTACCGTTTCCCCTCCCCGTTCTCTCACCTCCCCCATGCACGCTTTCGATGCACATGACATAATCAGGTGGGGCCATTGCCCTGGAATCCCTGTGTGGGCTGAGGTGCCGTCACTCGCTTCATTAGGGGATGTCCCAATACAAATTTATCATCCCATGCCATGTCATGGCATGCCATGCCATGCCATGATGCCATGCATGCGTGCACATCACATCATCACCAGGTGGGGCCAGTGCCCAGAAAGCCCTATGTGGGTCGAGAGGTGATCACTCGCTTCGCCCCCTCCCTCGCCTCTGCCGGGGCGCTCTTCACTGACTCTCAGGGCCGCGAATACCTGCGAAGGGTGAGAGATTCATGCTTTGAGACGTCTCAAAAGACGTCTCAAAAGACGTGTCAAAGGCCGTGTCAAAAGACTTGTCAAAAGACGTGTCAAAAGACGTGTCAAAAGACGTGTCAAAAGACGTGTCAAAAGACGTGTCAAAAGACGTGTCAAAAGACGTGTCAAAAGACGTGTCAAAAGACATGTCAAAAGACGTGTCAAAAGACGTGTCAAAAGACGTGTCAAAAGACGTGTCAAACAACTCCCTCGTCACTGATGGAGCTCTCTTCACCGACTCTCAGGGCCACAACTACCTTCGACGGGTGAGATTACCTTTGAGGAGCCCCAAATGACTAAGTTTCCAACAAAACGACTGCTGAGGCGCCACATAAGTCCCCCCTCGCCACTGAAGGGGCTCTCTTCACTGACTCGCCAGCCCACGACTACCTTCAACGGGTGAGAGGATTCATGTGAACAGCAGGACACGGTTTCTCCTTCTCCGCCGATGGGTGCCTCACACCGCATGGGTAGGGTGGTGACTTTTGAGTCGACGCAAAAGTCACACGGCTTCTCCGCTGACGAGTGCCTCACATGACATGGGTATGGCGTGCTGCCTGACTGACGGATACGCGGCTCTCTTCACCCACTCTCTCGCCTACCTGCCCCAGGTGAGCCTACCTCTCCTGCCCACCTCCCCCAGGTGAGACTAAGAATCTTGGTCTTGAGATGCCGTGCCATGCTGAACCAGGCTGTGCCCTGCCCAGCCAACATGCTATGCCATCCCTCCAACATCCCCTCCCCCCTCCAACCCTGTCATCCCCATGCTTCCCTCCCATGCCGCTGTGCCCATCATTTGCGCAACCATTGGTCGGATTAGAACCTCCCTTCCTAGCAGCCTGTCGCACTTTTAACACGTCCCAAACTCCCATGCTCCCTCCATCCTTCCTCATTCTCCACCCCGCCTCCCCCTCCCCCAATCTCCATCCCTGCCAAGCCGCCATGCCCATCAGGGGCGCAACCATTGAAAGATGTGATCCCTCCCTACCTCCTCCCTCCCTTCCTCGACCCTCCCTTCCTCCCATGCCCCAACGCCCATCAGGTGCGCAATCATCGGGCAGATTGGAACCTCACCGTCTACCAACCGATCGCCGGCAATTTTTACCCTGTTAGTCAGTCACTGCTCTCAGGTATCTTCGTGGCATGTATGGATGGATGCCTTTTTTTGAGGCGCCTCAAAAATGGTATCTTCGTGGCATGTATGGATGGATGCCTTTTTTTAACAGCACGTGTTGGCATGCCCGCGACTGGTATGTGTAGATGGTGCCGTTGCAATGCACGAACGGGCAGGTGGCATAGCATGGCATGGCATAGCATGGCGTTGAGCACATTGCTGCTGTTTGTATATCGCATGGCGCATGTTTGCATGCACTGTGCACATGAAGGCATATCAAAACACGAGCTCCCACGCGCGTCACACGGTGTCTACCGTGCCCTCCTCTTCCTCCTCTGCCCTCTTCTGCCCTCCTTTGCCCTCCTCCGCCCTCCTCCGCCCTCCTCTGCCCTCCTCTGCCCTCCTCTGCCCTCCTCTGCCCTCCTCTGCCCTCCTCTGCCCTCCTCCGCCCTCCTCCGCCCTCCTCTGCCCTCCTCTGCCCTCCTCTGCCCTCCTCTGCCCTCCTCTGCCCTTCTCTGCCCTCCTCGGCTGTTAGATTCTTGAAGCGCCTAAATCCCTCCTCTCCCCTCTGTGCATCGCCCCTCCTTTCCCATCCTCCCGTGCCCGCCCACAGCTCACAGCACGAACGTTCATTGCGGACAGCACAGCCCAGCTCTCACTGCTGTTCTGAGGCGCTCACAGCCCAGCTCCCACTGCTGTTCTGAGGCGCTCACAGCCCAGCTCCCACTGCTGTTCTGAGGCGCTCACAGCCCAGCTCCCACTGCTGTTCTGAGGCGCTCACAGCCCAGCTCCCACTGCTGTTCTGAGGCGCGCACAGCCCAGCTCCCACTGCTGTTCTGAGGCGCTCACAGCCCAGCTCCCACTGCTGATCTGAGGCGCTCACAGCCCAGCTCCCACTGCTGTTCTGAGGCGCTCACAGCCCAGCTCCCACTGCTGATCTGAGGCGCTCACAGCCCAGCTCCCACTGCTGATCTGAGGCGCTCACAGCCCAGCTCCCACTGCTGATCTGAGGCGCTCACAGCCCAGCTCTCACTGCTGATCTGAGGCGCTCTAAAGAACTCATATCTCCTCCTCTCCCTCTCTGCATCTCCCCATCCGCCGCACCCACCCCATCTTCCCATGCCTCAATCCAGCTCACAGCAGGGGCGTGATGCCTTGAGGACCTCACCGCCCATCTCTCACTGCTGGTTGCTCATTGAGGTGCCTGAGAATACACGGCTCGCCTCGTCTTCCCTCTTATTCCCTCTATGCATCGCCTCTCCTTTCCCTTCCCATCCCATCCCGCCCCATCTTCCCATGCCCGCCGACAGCTCACAGCAGGGGCGTTCATTGCGGACAGCACAGCCCAGCTCCCACTGCTGTTCTGAGGCGCGCACAGCCCAGCTCCCACTGCTGTTCTGAGGCGCTCACAGCCCAGCTCCCACTGCTGTTCTGAGGCGCTCACAGCCCAGCTCCCACTGCTGTTCTGAGGCGCTCACAGCCCAGCTCCCACCCACTGCTGTTCTGAGGCGCTCACAGCCCAGCTCCCACTGCTGTTCTGAGGCGCGCACAGCCCAGCTCCCACTGCTGTTCTGAGGCGCGCACAGCCCAGCTCCCACTGCTGTTCTGAGGCGCTCACAGCCCAGCTCCCACTGCTGTTCTGAGGCGCTCACAGCCCAGCTCCCACCCACTGCTGTTCTGAGGCGCTCACAGCCCAGCTCCCACTGCTGTTCTGAGGCGCGCACAGCCCAGCTCCCACTGCTGTTCTGAGGCGCGCACAGCCCAACTCCCACTGCTGTTCTGAGGCGCTCACAGCCCAGCTCCCACCCACTGCTGTTCTGAGGCGCTCACAGCCCAGCTCCCACTGCTGTTCTGAGGCTATGTTGCACTATACGCTCAGAAATTTTTCCGTATCACGTTTATGCGTTCACGTATAAACGGAAAAACGTGATACGGGGGCAATACGCGATACGCCTGGACGGGCAGCCCGTCGGAAAAAAAAAAAAATCTGTTGCGACCGTTCTCGCGATCTGTGATTCTCCGTAACGTAATTCTGACATTTGAAAGTCGAATGTCTTCCCCCGCACCCACCACCCCACTTCCACCGCACATAACCTCACACCACCTCCCAAATCCAACCCTTCCCTTCCAACCACACACTTCAGCTTTCACGTCGGCAGCTTCAAAAACCTATGTCTACTGCTAATGTCGCAGCTGGACGCAAGTAGGCAGAGGGGCGCAGATCTGGCATTCCGCCGCCAGATCTGCGCGATTCTAGTATTCCGCCAGCAGATCGCCGCAGATCGGCAAGAAACATTGAATATATGGACCATCACTCTCTCCCTGACACTTTTTTCCCCTGCCCGGAACTTTTTTCCCCTGCCCGGGACAACGTATTTTGAGCGTATCGAGGGGGCGGAAATCCATCATATGGCGTTCGTACGTTGGCGTATAGTACGAACGCGACTGGTACGCGAATCGCGTATTTTGCAACATAGTTCTGAGGCGCTCACAGCCCAGCTCCCACTGCTGTTCTGAGGCGCTCACAGCCCAGCTCCCACTGCTGTTCTGAGGCGCGCACAGCCCAGCTCCCACTGCTGTTCTGAGGCGCTCACAGCCCAGCTCCCACTGCTGTTCTGAGGCGCTCACAGCCCAGCTCCCACTGCTGTTCTGAGGCGCTCACAGCCCAGCTCCCACTGCTGTTCTGAGGCGCTCACAGCCCAGCTCCCACTGCTGTTCTGAGGCGCTCACAGCCCAGCTCCCACTGCTGTTCTGAGGCGCTCACAGCCCAGCTCCCACTGCTGTTCTGAGGCGCTCACTGCCCAGCTCCCACTGCTGTTCTGAGGCGCTCACAGCCCAGCTCCCACTGCTGTTCTGAGGCGCTCACAGCCCAGCTCCCACCCACTGCTGTTCTGAGGCGCTCACAGCCCAACTCATATCTCCTCCTCTCCCTCTCTGCACCTCCCCATCCTCTGCACGTGCTCCATCTTCCCATGCCCGTCCGCAGCTCACAGCAGGGGCATTTATTGCAGACAGCACCGCGCAGCTTTCACTGCTGGTGGACCGGCCACTGGGGGCGGCCAGCCTGGCAGACGGGCAGCTGGAAGTCATGCTGCACCGGTGAGCATTGGGGAGGCGAGGGCGCTAGCCTGTAGGTAGTAGCACCGCCAATGTGGATCGACCACTGGGGGCGGCCAGCCTGGCAGATGGGCAGGTCGAAGTGATGCTGCACCAGTGAGCACTGGGTGGCGTGGGCGTGGGTTGTGGAGCTGGCAATAGCACTGCCACTGTGCACCGCAACTGTGGAACCCCCACCCCACTGGGTGCGGCCCGCTGGGGGCGACCCACTGGGTGCGGCCCGCCTGGCAGACGGGCAGCTGGAGGTGATGCTCCACCGGTGAGTGCTGCTGAGGCATGGCTTCATGTGCCACGAGCCGGCAGCATCACATGGTGAAGTTGAAGTTCATTTTGTAGTCTTGGGGGGTGGTTTTGAAGAGCAGGTATAAGCCCCAATGTTATTTACACCGCCAACCACTCCTTCCATCCCTGTTTCTTCCCTCACTCAGACCCACTCACTGCTCCCTCTCTCACTCCCTCACACCTCTTTCTCCCCTGCGCATTTGTCTCTCTCCCCTGCGCATTTGTCCCTCTCAGGCCCATAATTTCAAACGATGGGAACGGCGGGTGGGGGGGGGGTTGTGGGGTTCGCCTGTCTCTTGTGCACATAATTTCAGCCGCTTGGATTACTTATGATTCCTAAAAAACTCGCACACACACAGAAAACTTCCTTCTAAGGAATTTCGCAAATTGTGCATTTTCCCGCCTCCCTGTCAGGCGCATGATATCAGATGATGGCAAAGGCGTGGGAGAGGTGCTGGATGAGAAAGTGTGTGATTCCCATGACAACTGCACTCCCCTGGCCGTGAGTGCAAAGCACAGCACACCACACTGGAATAAGCACTGTAGGCTTTGCCCTTACACACATTCATTCTCTAAAGTGGGATTCGTATGAGGTGCCATCGTCTAGTAAGTCTGCCCTCCATCCTGCATTTCTCCAAGGCTTGTCCTCTGCGTTCCCACTACCTATTGCCTTCATGTCGTTGCCCTCGTGCCGTTGGCCTTATGCCGCTGCTCTCATGCCCGGTGCCACTGCTCTAGTGGTGGGATTCATTCGCTTTGCTCTGCATTGCAGCTCTCCAAGCGTGTGTGTTCAGTCAACCGCCTATTGCCCTCATGCCCTTCCAGGTGGTGGGATTTATCCGCTTTGCCCTGCATCCCAGCACTCCCAATGACACCGACTGTTACGGCGGGGATCCTGGCCCTGCCGAGGAGTCCGGTTCGTCCGCAGCTGCTGGCGCTTCCAGTAGCGAAGCACTCAATTGCGAGGACAGTGCAGACACAGGCTCAGTAGAGTGGGTGTCAGGGGATTCTGATGTAGATAGTGATTCTGCCAGTGTAAGGGATTCTGGCGAAGTAGCGGATGCTTCTGCCAGTGATGGAGCACTCAATAGCGAGGACAAAGAGCGAGCCTCAGGAGACTCTGGTGCAGCAGCAGCAGCAGCAGGTGTTGCGGAGGCCAAAGACAGCAAAAGCCAACAGTTAACCGGCCGGCGAAAGCTGGGCGGCAAAGAGAGGAGGGATGCAATGCTGGGCGGCAAAGGCAAGCATGAAAGGGGAAGGGAGGGGAAGGAGAGGGATGAAGTGACGGTGGAGGGGATGGGGGAGGGTGGGGTGAAGGGGAGTGTGAAGGGCGAGGCAGCCAGATGGAGGAAGGAGCACGCAGAGAGACTGCTGTCGCCTCTGCAACTGGCGTTTGCACGTGAGGTGAGAGGTGCAGGGAGGAGGGGTGAGGTAAAGGGATGTGAAGAGAGTTGAAGGGAGGTGAAGTGGCAGGGAGCGGACTGGGGGAGAGGAGAGTGAAGGGCGAGGCAGCCAAGTGGAGGAAGGAGCACGCAGAGAGAATGGTGTCGCCTCTGCAACTGGTTTTTGCACGTGAGGTGAGAGGTGCGGGGAGGTGAATGCAGGTGGAATGGAAACAGGTGAAGAGAGGTGAATGGAAGTAAAGAGAGGTGAAGTGGCGTGAAGAGAGGTGAAGGGAAGTGAAGGGAGGTGAATGGAAGTGAAGATAGGTGAAGGGAATAAAAGAGAGCTGGAGGGAACTGAAGAGAGGTGCAAGGAATTGAAGAGAGGTGAAGGGAGTCGAAGAGAGGTGAAGGGAAGTGAAAATTGAAAGCAGTAGGTGGATATTTGTTCCCACGGGCAGTGATCAAGAGCAGTATTCATCTTCTCTACGTTCTGCTTGTTATCCATTCGTTTCCTTGGATCTGTGGCGATTTATACCTTTCTCGTGACACATGCACATGGCACATGGCACATGCACATGGCACATGACACATGGCACATGCACATGGCACATGACACATGGCACATGGCACATGGCACATGGCACATGGCACATGGCACATGGCACATGGCACATGGCACGCTACAGGCAACCGAGGCACTGAAGGCGGCGCAGGGCATGAGATGGACGTACTCGCTCTCACACATGCCTCAAGCGGAAGAGAGCAACCAGGAAGACCAGGGAAACACGCCCGCGCCCTACCACCTCCCTCCAAACGTTGCCATTGTCTCGTTGCAGGTGGGTGCTGGTGGAAACAAACATGCCGCTCAGGTGGGTGCCGGTGGAAACAAACATGCCGCTCAGCCTCACCAAAGTGGCTTCCACTCGCTGCTCCTCCTGAAACGCCCCTGAAGCAGTGTGCCTTTTTGTTTCCATCCCGTTCATCCTCCTCTACATCATCCTTTCAAGCCGCCTCGAAAGGGGCCGTTTGGTGATCCGGAGAGCTCAGTGTTCAGACCAGACTGTGTTTTAGGCGCCTAAAAAGCCGCAGTGCACACAGCACGAGTCCATGGTCGACCCTCCCTCTATTCCCTGGATTACATTCTGCCACCTCACATGTCACCACAGGAGCTTGCACCCAATGAGGTCACCGTTCGATTTGCACACCTGTACGAGGTACGCTCCATGTGCTTTATGGTGTGTTTTGAGTCGACTCAATTCACAGCTTGTGCCAATTGACGTCACTGTGCGATTTGCACACCTGTACGAGGTACGCTCCATATGCTTTATGCCTCGAGGTGTATCCCTACGTGCTTTAGCTGTCCCGTGCTGGATTATAAGATACACCTATGCCCCCACCTCCAACACTTGCCCACATCCCTCATTCCATGATGACCTTGAGTCGACTCAAAGTCAACTTTAGCTGTCCCGTGCTGGATTATAAGATACACCTATGCCCCCACCTCCAACACTTGCCCACATCCCGAATTCCATGATGCTGCTGCAAACCGTATAACCCGTGTGTGTCACCTTCTAGTCTTGTGATTCAATGCCTATCATCCCCTGCAGTTTTCCATCTTGCTACCATTCTTGCCCTTCACTGCTCCGGCCATATAACATACCTGTCGGTCACTGCACGTGCCCATTACCATACTCAACATCTCCCCCCTCCTCGCTCCCTTCCCCCCCCTCCCTCGTTCTCCCCTCCAGGCCAAGGAGCATCCGCAGCTGTCCAGCCTAGCTTCTGTTCATCTCCCCTCGCTCTTCGCCTCACGAAAGGTGCGCCACCGCTGACTGATTGCTCAAACCATTAATCCGCGTCAAATGCTCTTACTTCCGTTACTCTCCCACTCTCATGTGCTTCTGACACCTATGCGTGCCGAGCCGAATCAAATCTGTCTGCGCAGATCAAGAATGTCACTGAGCTGAATCTTTTTGCAAGCCAGAAACGATCGGAAATGCGTCCACCATTGGAGTGGCAAGTGGAGGAGAGAGAAGCTTCTGGTGGGCATGGCGAAACGAAGGAGGGGAGAGCTGGTGAATCAAGTAGGAATGAACCTACTGTAGATTCACCAGTTTTAGGTGGTCCAATCGACCCTCATAACCTTGTGCTTGAGTTAGGGCCCATGGAGATCCGAACTGTTGCCATCTCCTTCCATTGAGAAACACAAACGTTGGGATGAATTTGTGGAATTGGAGTATCGTACGTGGAGATCTCAACACTATAATGGATGTAGAATTTGAGTGCCATCTCAAATTACACCCACGACATTCTGATGCGACACTTAGTTTTGGTGCATCATGCGGGAGGGCTTTTTAATCAATGTAAATTAACCCTATATATTGATAATTAGGGTGAAATTGTATGCCACATTGAAGTCTCTGAGCTGAATTTGTAGAAGAAAATCCTTATTCCAAAAGGTAATGTTCTAGGCCACACCATGGTCCTGTGGAAATTTTCCTTATCGAGTACTATTACCCTCTTATGTTCTCGGTACAGACTGATATAAAAGAATTTGATGCAAATTTTGTGACGTGTCAAGGTCCGAATGTACCTGAGCTGAACGAACAGAGTGGGTGGAATAAAATGATACAAGGCGACGGCTAGTGGATATGGGCGTGCTGCTAAAGACCAAACTCTCTCGATCCCCATCACCCGTCTTCATCGCGCAATCACGCTTGTCACGATAATCTCTCGCGATAATCTCTCGCGATAATCTCTCGCGATATTCTCTCACGATAATCTCTAGCGATAATCTCTCGCGATAATCCCTACCGTGCTACTGATGTCCGATCCATCTTGGCCTCCCCATGGAGTCTGCAGTGCTACTGATCTCGCGGGCCGCGATCCCGTCCGTCGAACAATCCGTCCCGTCGCTAGATCCCTCTCGCCTCTCCGTACCTTCCGTTGCTCGAGTCTGACTGGACTCACATCCTTTCGCCACATCCTTTCGCTTCATCCTTTCGCCACATCCGTTCGCATCCTTTCGCCACATCCTCTGGTCCCCCCGACCCTCACCGTCGCTACCACCCTCGTCGCTGCCTCTCTCCCGTCGTCGATCTCTCACCTCACTGATCCTTACCGTCTCCCTCCTCCCCACTTACCTCCCTCCTTCCCCTCACATAGCGCCCTCCTCCACTTCCCTTCTTTCTGCCCGTCGCCCTACTTTCCCCAGCCCGCCTCACTCGCTTCCCCTCCGCCGCGTCGTCCACGCGTCTCCTGCCGTCGCCCTCGCTTCGCATCCCATCGCCTTCCTCGTCTTTTGAGGCGCCTCAAAAGTCGCCCTCGATTCGCATCCCATCGCCTTCCTCGTCTTTTGAGGCGCCTCAAAAGTCGCCCTCGCTTCGCATCCCATCGCCTTCCTCGTCTTTTGAGGCGCCTCAAAAGTCGCCCTCGATTCGCATCGCATCGCCTTCCTCGTCCTCCCCGCTTCAACTGCCCATCGCCGTTTCTCGTCGCCCTCGCTTCCCCTGCCCGCCGCCGCTCCCCGTCGCCCTCGCGTCCCCACCCAATGCCTTCCCGTCGCACTCGCTCTCCTTACCCGTCTTTCTCGTTTCCCCTGCCCGTTGCCCTAATTTCCCCTGCCCATCGCCCTACTTTCCTGTCCGTCGCCCTAATTCCCCTGTCCGTCGCCCTAATTCCCCTGTCCGTCGCCCTAATTCCCCTGTCCGTCGCCCTAATTCTCCTGTCCGTCGCCGTAATATCCACTAACCGTCGCCCACGTTCCCCCTCACAAACCTCCACTAAATGCATCTCTGCCAATCACTCGCTCACACACCCGCCCTACTTCCCCCCACTTTCCACCCTTCTTGATGTAGCCACCTATCTCCCTCTCTCCTTGCTTCCCTCTCTCCTTCCTTCCCTCTCTCCTTCTTTTTCTAGCTTTGTATCGCTTTCCTACACTCTAAACATCTTTCCTTCCTTTAATTTCCGCCCATCACCTTTCCTCATTACACCTTCCTCCTTCCCCCAATCTTTCCGCCTCATTTCCACCTCGTACCTTCTTCCAGCCCCGGACTTACTCCCCTGCCTCCCTCCACTTACCTCTCTCCATCTCCTGATTTACCCCCCACACCCCCCCCACACTTCCCCAACACTCCCCCCACATTCCCCCCACCTACCTCCCTTCACCCCTCAACTAGTCCCCCTCATTCCCCTCATTTACCTCCCTCCACCTCTGGCCAACCCCGCTCATTCTTGGCACCCACCTCCCACCATGACCCAATTTACCCTCACCAAGGAGAACTTCAGGGAGGCAAGGAGAAGTGGAGGGGGATGCGGGAGGAGGCAACCTTCGAGGCGCTTCAACTCAATCACCTCCCCCCACCCTAACGCAAACCCAACTCATTTCCCCCCCTCATTTCCCTCCTCATTTCCCCCTTCGTTTCCCCCCCTCATTTCCCCCTTCATTTCCCCCTTCATTTCCCTCCTTCATTTCCCCCTTCATTTCCCCCTTCATTTCCCCCTTCATTTCCCCCTTCATTTCCCCCTTCATTCCCCCTCCTCATTCCCCCACTCAGATCTCCTGATTTACCCTTCCGAAGGGGAACTGCAGGGAGGGAGAGAGAAATGGAAGGGGAGGTGGGAGAAGGCATGAGTAAAGGTGTGGGAGGACAAAGAGAGGGAAGGAGAGGAGAGGGTATAGGGAGGGAAAGAGAATGGGAGACAAGGAGGGAGCGGGATGTGAAGGGCGGTGCGAGGGCAAGAATGATAGCAAGCACGTGTGCTTCCCCTGCTCATCGCGCTCGCTTCCCCTGCCCTCACCCTCCTTCCCCCACTCACCGCCCACTTCCCTCATTTACTGCTGCGCAACCCCCAATTTGCCCCCTTCCGTCTTCCCACTTACCACCCTCCCTCTCCTCACTATCTCCCCTTTTGACGGCTTACCATCCTCCATCCCTCCTCATTTTCCTCACACTCTCTCTCTTATAGCCCCTCTCTGCCTATCTCCTCCCCTCTACCTTTCTTTCAACCTCCCTATCTCCCTGCCTCCATTATTTATTTTATCCGACCCCCCAATCTTTCGCCCCCTTTTTATAACGTCCTCCCTTTTTCCCGACAACCCTATCCCCCCCCCTCCCTTTATCCCACCCTCCCAATGCTCCCACCCTCCCATTTCTCCCACCCTCCCTCTCTCCCATCCCTCTCTTTTCTCGTTCTCTCCAGCATCCCTATTTTTCTGTCTCCATATCCTCCACTCTCCCTTCTCACTGCCTCCATATCTCGGGGCCTAATATTTCAGACCTTTTAGTCTGAATTGTCTGATGTTTTAACCCTTTTTGTGTACTGAGTCTTCTTAATCTGATTTTTTTTTAATTATGAACTTTCTAGTATAAGGTGGTAATTTTGTCGTGTTTTCAGAGTCAAATTGCTCACCGGCTCTGATTTTCCAGACAACCCCTGAATCAATCCAATCTGAGTGTCTCCCTGCTTCCTATCTTTGACCCATCCGAGTTCAGGCTCTCCATATATCCCTCCCTCCCTATTTCTGTGCCTCCCAGAAGTCATGGACTTATTGTCCTACCACGTGTCACGCACCTGCCCTAACATGGCTCACCGACTGACCTAGTGCAGGGGAGTTGTAGGGCTGGGAGCACCGGGGAGAGGCTGACAAGACAGCTAAAGAGTTGGGGTTGGGAAAAGGGGAAGAGAATTTTTGGGCGAAGGAAGTACATTCAAACATACGGTACCATCCTTTCTGAACCAGACAATGCCTTTTTGAAACTGGGTGCAGATGTCTTATCAACCAACATCATTAGTCATTGCTTCTTGACAGTCCCCCAACTACATCCACTCACTAAGATAACTAGCATCCCATATCCCATGTGACCAACTAGCACCAACCAGCACCAACTAGACTCTTCTCACGGTGCAGCAAGGTCTAACCCCATCCAACGACATCAGCAACTTCTCACAATCTTTTCTACACGGTAATGGCAGTCACCATGGTAATGGACGGGTTCCTCCATTTAACGGGCACCGCATTGAACCCATACCCACCGTTCTTCAGCTTCGCAATCATGAACTGCATGAACGCCTTGGCAATCTTCCCGCCAGTCACGCCCGTCAGCGACTTGCGGATAAACCCATACTCCATGGAAACCATCGCAGGGGTCTTCGCTCCGGCCTTCCAGATGAAATCCACGCTGCTCCAGGAGCCGTCCGCTGCGGGAGGCGAGCCCACGAGCGCCGCGCCGGGGACCCACGAGGGCGGCGCGACGGCGACGCCGGCGGCGTTCTTGAGCGCGGCAATCACGCGCTTCGGGTTGTTGGGCTTCCTCTTGTTGTACACCGTGGTGCAGCCGCCGGTGAACGCGTAGCCAATCGCGCCCTTGGTAGCGAGTACGGCGGCGCACACGGCGGTGGTTCCCTCCACCTTGGTGAGGCCGGCATACGTCATGGCGTTGCCGTCCGTGCCGTCGCCATAGCCCGAGACGGCCTTGGACCACATCGTTTTCACGATCGCCGTGGATCCAGACTTGTCGCTGCGCGCCACGCGGGTAATGGCGCCCGCGACCTTCCCCACCGCGCCGGGAACGCCCGACCAGGCGGAGATAGCGCCGCTGTAGATCTGATACGTCTGCGTGGCCGTGAGCACGACGCCGGGCTTGGCGTTTACGAAGAAGCTGAAGGTGGAGACGCAGAGCGGCACGGTGATCTTGCCGCCGGCGGGGACGCCGCCCTCTTGGGCGGCGGTCATGGGGTCGTCAGAGACGGCAATGAGGTAGGTGCCGCCGTTGAAGCCCGTGATTCCGGCGCCCGATCCCACCGAGTCGTATGCAACTACGTCCTGGGAAATGCCCGGCTTGGCCGCGTTCCATGCCTTGACGATTGCCCCGCCAGCCTGGAATTTGGCATATATCACGACGGAGGGGCGTTTTTTGGACGTTTTTTGCGACGGTGTGGATTTATTACGTGCTGGAAATTATGCGAGAGACTTCTTTCGTGTGAGGAAACTTACAGGTGCGAAGGTTGACGCGCCGCCCATGAATCCAGCGAGCGAATGCGACGCAAACGATGCAATCAGAAAAGCGACTGCGAGGGTTTTGTAGCAGGTGTGAGCCATGGCGAAGGTTGTGTAGCAACGGTGGTAGAGAAATCAGGAATCCAAGAAGCTGCCAAGTCGTGAGAAATTGGCTTGTGATTCAATGCAATGCGCCGAGGCAATTTATGCTTCAGAATTTGGAATTGCGCGCTTCGTGATTTTGGCAGCACCTGGGCGGGGAAGGAGGGGGAGTTTCTGTGTGGCAAGGGTAACACGCTGCTGTGCGAAAAATGGCATTTCCAAGGGTCAGCACGGGTCCTGCTCGGCATAGCTCACGGATTCGTTGCGACGACTTGCATGAGTTCGCGCAAAGCCGTCGTTTCTTACGGTAGACGGTACTTCCATCAATGATTGGTCCCCGAAATAAAACATAAAAAATCTGTTACATCCATCCGCGATGGGGTTTGTTTGTTGCGTAGGCATACAGCGTGGGCATTTACTGGGCAGTTACTCTAGTACAGGGTCGGTTGTTTCTGGTCGGTTGTTACAACCGATATTGTGCGACTCGACTTGGAGGAATCTTTTATGGAATCTTTTATTATTCTGCTCCAGCACACAAACACCTCCCATGGTCGGTGCGGACGAGACAATACATTCTAATGTACTAGATTAAAGCTACTTCTATTGCATCCATTACTATCATTCATATACAATCCTTACTATGGTTGCAATATATCATAACACCCGAATAAGGAACTCATATTATCGCCATGGGAGTTCTCCAACGCTTCGCGGCTACTTGAGTGCATGAAAATAAATCTGAAGCTATCAACTGAAGCCTTACACTAAGGTCTATTTGGGCATTTGGTTGTGCTACACTATGGTGGTACATGGGGTTACACATTGTAACAGAAAGCAAATGCACCATCAATTCTACCATACTGCGCAATACAATATTAAACGGATATGCGATTCCAAGCCTAACAAGCAACACTTAGTGTGTTATGAATGAACTTGTAGAGTGCTCAGGTTGACGAATAATGAAAGAGTTGAACTACCAAATCACGATACAATGAAAGTGACGGGAATTTATAAGGGGAATCCTAGCTAGGCGAAGGGGTCGGGCTAGGATGGCTCAGAAAGTGTTTCGTCGAGTAACCCTCAGGATGTACTCGCTAAAGTCGAGTACAGTAAAGAATTACAATTCCTTACACTCTCCTATCTTCCAATTAAGCTCTCCTGGTATGTAGATGAAGCCTTCAGTAGCAAAGACGTCATTGATCTCCCTTTTAGCTGAATCCGACGGCTGAAATTGTCTTCAACAATTTTGACATAAAGGTTGGAATTGAGGCCATTTATGAAGTCACGTGTCAATTTGACGGACACGGATGAACTGGCCCAAATGGATTTGAAAGTTGGAATGCGTGCCGTCGATCGAGCAGGTGTAGATCTGAGGGTCGAAAGCTGGCGCGATTTTGGAGGGAGCAGTCTGACGCGAAATTCAATTGCGACTGCTCAGAAGTTGATTTCAATGTTGCGATCGTAGCCAATTATCGTGCTGCTGGATTCTGACAAGGTCAGAAAGAAAAAATACAAAGGAAAGAACACTGCAGTGTACTTTCTTCCCCCGTCCAAGAGAATTTTGTTAGAATCTAGCAGCAGGAATGGATGAACTAGCAGGAAGATGGGTACAAGTAGGAAACCCTAATTTGGGTTGTACCCCAATATGGGTTGCCCTATTTTGGGCTGCGCGCGGCTGCAGCGGGCTGCGCGCGGCTCGGTGCGGGCTGCGCGGGCTCGGTGCGGGCAGCGCGCGGCAGCAGCGGGCTGCACACGGCTCGGTGCGGGCAGTGCGCGGCAGTAAGGGGCCTAACGGTCTGCAGGGGCTGTTCGCGGGCCTGAAGGGCGTGTAGGGGCGGCGCGCGGGCCTTACGGGCCTCTAGAAGCAGCGCGCTGGCCTAGGGCAGCAGGAGGCAGCGCTAGGGCTGCTGGACGGCGCGCGTAGTGCAGCACGTCACAAGGCAAGGCAAGGCAGGCAGGTACGTGGGGTAGCGCGGTAACCGCAGCGGTAGGTGGGCCCGAAAAAAAAAAACGGTCCTACGGACCTTAGTGCTCTGATACCATGTTAGAATCTAGCAGCAGGAATGGATGAACTAGCTGTCAGAATGAACGGACAGGAATGAATGAACTAGCAGTGAAACGAGTACAAGTACCTAACCCTAGAATTGTGTACCCCCTATAGGCTAACCCACTGTAGCCTAAACAAGCACAACACATATAATGTTTGACACACCCCCATAGGCAAAGTGGGGGAGAGCAAGGGGTCACAAGACCAGTCAAAGCAAAGCAAAAACAAGCTCAGGGTGGTTCTCAAGGATACCACACAAATTCCGAGCACAAGCAAGTGGTCACAAGACCAGTTCACATGCAGGTTGATAATATAACAGGAGAAACAGTGATAACAACCTAGCAAGTGTAAACATGCAGGCATATATATAAAGATCACAGTACAAGCAGAGTCAAGAAGTAAGCAAGTGGGGTCCAGCAGGCACAAGGCCTAGAAGAGTACAGAAACGCTGATGGTCACAAGGCTGAAGCGCCTTGGTGAACACATCAGCAAGGTTGGCCTCAGTGGCCACGTAACGCAGACGAAGCTGACCACGCTGCTGCAGCTCTCGAGCAAGGAAGTATCGCAGGGCGATGTGCTTCGTTCTGTGCTCCAGTCTGTGCTCCTCACACAAGGCAATGGCAGCCTGGTTGTCGACGTACAGCACTGGAGGAGAACGAGGCCGCTCTCCCAAGTCGGTCAGCAGGTAGGTCAGCCAGCGTAGCTCCTGGGCAGCCATGGCTGTGGCGTAGATCTCAGCCTCACAACTGGAGCTGAGAACAGAAGAAGAGCGTGTAGAACGCCAAGAAACTGAGCCGGAGCCAAGGCTGAAGGTGTAACCCTGAGACGACCGCTGAGTAGCCTGGTCGTCCGCCCAAGAAGCGTCTGAGTGTCCAGTAAGTACAACTCGGTCTCGCCCTCCAAGCACTAGCCCCATGCCCGACGTACTGCACAAGTAGCGCAACACCCTCTTAGCGGCATCCATGTGCTCCTTCCTGTGACAGCCAGGAGCGACATAGCGCGCAAGGATGCTAAGAGGGTATGCAAGGTCAGGTCGAGTGCAGGTCATCAGGTACATGAGGCAGCCCACAAGCTCTGGATACGGGCCACTCGGCTCTACTGACTCATCCGAAGGCAGAGCTGAGAGCGAGTGACCGGTAGGCAGAGGAGTGGACTGAGGCGAGGAGTACGTGAAGCGGAAGCGCTGAAGGATCTGCTGCACCATGTGTGACTGAGTCAAGGTGATGGTGCGCCGTGCTCTGTCCCGGGTGATCCGCAAGCCAAGATAGCTTGTCAGTTCACCCAGGTCTGTGCACGTGTGTCTCCTCTGCAGCTCCGACTTCACGTGGGCGAGTGCCGCGGTGTTAGCAGTGGCAAAGACCAAGTCGTCGACGTACACGAGGATGTAGAACGGCGGCAGTGAGGTGTCTGTGCGTAGAAACAGTGACGGGTCAGCAGTAGAGGGAGCGAACCCAAGAGCCGCAAGTGTCGTCCTCAGTGTGTCGTGCCACTCACGTGGTGCCTGGCGGAGACCGTAGACCGGCCGCTGGAGCCTCCACTGGGTACCAGGAGGAACCGACCCAATGAAGCCAGGAGGGCGGCGCAGCCAGATCTCCTCGTGCAGGCTGCCCTGCAAGAAAGCAGTGCTGAAGTCAAGCGAGTGAAGCTCGTAGTCGCGCTGAGCGGCTATGTGCAGCAGCACCCGAAGAGTGGTCATCTTCGGGGTGGGGGAGAAGGTCTGGAAGAAGTCAACTCCCTCTCGCTAACTGAAGCCTCGAGCCACGTAGCGCGCCTTGAAGACCGGAGGAGAACCCGGTGGCCGCTTCACCCTGAAAATCCACATGCCACTGACGATGTTCGCCCCAGGTGGGGGAACCTCGTCGACGTAGGTGCGTGTGGACTTCCAGGAAGCCATCTCTGCGTCCATGGCTGTCTGCCACTGAGAGGAGTAGGGACCCGCCATCGCCTCAGCGTAAGTGCGCGGGGTCGGGATGTCTGGTGCATCCGGGTCTCCCTCAGGGGCAACTAGCATGGACACGAGGTGGGGTAAAGCAGCAGCAAAGCACTGGAACTCCTCTTGTCTGTCCTCAAGGACGTCCGTGCCAAGAGCACACTCACCCCCGACGGACGGAGGACAGACAGACTCAGACTCTGACTCAGCAACAAGGCTAGTGGCGTAGTCTAGACGACACCGGGCAGCAAAGTCTATCAACTCAGCGACCAGAGCAGACGCAGCAGAGGACTCAAAGGTAGGGTCAGTGACAACAGTAGCGAGGAGACGGGTGACAGTGGGACTGGCAGCACGACGGGAGTCAGACTCCGGATCAGGAAGAGTAGGCAGAGAGGACGCAGGAGGAGACGGCAGCGGAACACGCTGAGGAGCAGTGGAGGGACGCAGAGTCATGTAGTGAGTGCCAGGGACAGGAGGAGGACGCTCACGTGGGACACGACGACCAGTGCGAGCAGTACGAACAGGCGACGCAGGACGAGACTCAGGCTCACGACGCTCTGTAAGACCTCCCGTGGGACCAGTGTAAGGAGAGGGAGCAGGGAGAGGCGAGGCAGGCGGGAACTGTGACTGCGACTGGACAGGCGGAGGACACTCTACTGAGGAAGGAGGACAAGGAGGAGGAGCCTGACCAAGAACCTGCTGAAGAAGTGGTACGAAGTACGGTCGCGGTCGCGCAGCGTCTCCAGAACCAGCAGGGACACCAGCGACAGGGTCCTCAGCACCAGCAGCAGCTCCAACGTCCGGGTCCTCAGCACCAGCAGCAGCTCCACCGCTCGGGTCCTCAGCACCAGCAGCAGCTCCACCGTCCGGGTGCTCAGCTCCAGCAGTAGCTCCAACGCCCGGGTCCTCAGCACCAGCAGCAGCGCCACCGCTCGGGTCCTCAGCACCAGCAGCAGCTCCACCGTCCGGGTCCTCAGCACCAGCAGCAGCGCCACCGCCCAGGTCCTCAGCACCAGCAGCAGCTCCAACGCCCGGGTCCTCAGTACCAGCAGCAGCGCCACCCCCAGGGTCTGCAGCACCAGGAGCACCACTCCGAAGACTGCAGCGCCGCGCGTACCACTCTCGGATCTGCTGAATGGGGGGGAGCTCCTGGGTAGGAGGGGAAGTACTGGTACGAGCTCCAGCAGCACCTCTCCGGAGGTGGCAGTACTGTAGGTACCTCTCCTGCAGCTGCTGGGAGGAGAGGGCTCCTCCAGGTGTAGCACGCTCAGGCTCAGCACCTCCAGACACAGCACCCCCAGGCTCAGCACCTCCAGACTCCGCACCCCCAGGCTCCGCACCCCCAGACTCAGCACGGTCAGGCTCAGCACCCCCAGGCTCAGCACCCCCAGACGCAGCACCTCCAGGCTCAGCACCTCCAGACTCCGCACCCCCAGGCTCAGCACCCTCAGACTCCTCACGGTCAGGCTCAGTACCCCCAGCAGGACGAGAGTCAACAGCTACCTCGACAGGCTCACCCGGGTCTACCTGAGACACACCTGAGGGAGCGGCACCCTGAGGGGGGAGGGGGTCTGGTACCTCAGCACCTGGAGCGAGGAAGAGAGGCGGGGGGGGGGAGCGGGGCAGTGCGGTAGGGGAAGAGGCGGTAGTAGGGGACGGACTCATCAAAAGTGACGTCCTGAGAGGCCAGGACACGACGCGAGGTGGCGTGGTAGAACTGCCAACCAGGCGCGTCCGGGACGAAGCCAAGGAAGACACAGGGGACAGCTCGACGGGAGAGCTTGTCCGCAGACGTATCGCGAACAAAAGCTCGAGATCCCCAGACCCGAAAACGCGACGCATCGCCAGCCTCTCCCATCCAACGCAGTGTCGGAGAGGTCTCCGGTAAGGAGACACGGGGCCAGAGGTTGAGCTGATGCGCAGCGTATCGGACTGCAAACGGCCACAGAAAATGGGGGGCAGCCGCATGAACTAAGGAGGTACGAGCGACCTCCATGACCAAGCCAATGCGGCGCTCAGCAACCCCATTCTGCTGTGGAGAGGCCGGAAGCGTGAACGACTGCTCAATGCCCTCCTGCTGACAGAAGGCCTCCAAGAGGCCAGAGGAAAACTCCCCACCTCTGTCAGAGTGCAAACGCAGGACAGGGAAGTCGGAGCGGAAACGCTCACTGAGCTGGAGACGAGATATGCGGATCCAAGGGATCAAGACATCAGGGACGTCACCCTTGGTGCGCAAGGGGAAGACCGTGGTGTAGCGCGAGAAGTCGTCAACAACAATCAGGAAGTACCTCTCCTGACCCTGACCACGGACGCGGGCTGGGCCCCACACGTCCATGTGGAGCGTCTGCAAAGGAGCAGTCGTCGGGGGGAAGGAGGAGGAGTGAGGAGCGGCTCGCTGCCGCCCCTCGACACAGGGAAGACAGGGAGGAGCAGGCGAGGGTGGGAGGGGAGGGAGAACCCTGGGAAGACCAGCAACAAGGTCCCGTTTGTGCATGGCCCGAAGGCGCTGCACAGACGGGTGACCAAGACGGTGGTGCCAGAGGACAGTCTCATGCGCCAGAGAGCGACACGAGCAGGGGGCGGACAGCTGACCTGACGCAGACGCAGACGCGGACGCAGCTACCTGAGGGGACTCAGTGGTCAGTGTGTACAGGTCCGACCCCGGCTGCCGAGTGAAGGTAGCCAGGTGACGGCCCGTCCGAGCACACGTGCAGTGGGTCACGCGCTCGTAAGCAGGGGTGAACTGGTGAACACCCCCGTCCTGGAGCGCACTACCTGCCACCAAGTTCGTAGAGAACGAGGGGAGGTAGAGGCCTGACAGTGTGCCTGACGGGACCAGAAGGACAGTGGAGGAGGTCGCAACGACCGGACCCCTAGAGGGGTCAGCGAGGGAGACAGCAACTGGCCGAGCAAGCGGCTCAAGGACAGTGCGGTCACGAAAGAAACAGCGAGAAGCACCTGAGTCCAGTGTGAAGGTGTGCAGTGCTGCAGTCGACTCAGTACCAGAGGGCACGGACTCACTAGCACCTAGAGCAGCAGCCTCACCAGGACCTGGGGCAGCAGACTCACTAGCACCTAGAGCGGCAGCCGGACTGGTCAGAATGCCCGGGTCGGGCGGAACACGCAAGTACTGAGCACCCTCTCCACTAGTAAACATCGCATACATGGCAGTGAGAATAGCATCAAAGTCTAAAGCCCAGATATCAACTCCCTTCTTCTCCAGATCAGCCCAGTGGGGCAGGTCAGTGGCATCAGGAAACTGGGCACGCCACGCGTCAGTAAGGCGCGCGAAACAGCGCTGTGTGGGATGCGGCCTCCCACACTGCTGGCCAGTGCGGTCACCAGTGCGAATGACGTACGTGCAGGTAAAGCCACGCTGCGCATACCACTCACGGGCGGCCTGAAGCGACGGGGCGGGCTGCTGACTCTGTCCACCGCCAGCGCCTCCACGACCACCACCGCCGCCGCCACCGCCCCGGCCACCTCCACCCCTGCCGCCGCCACGACCACCTCCGCCTCCGCTGCCGCCTCCGCCCCTGCCACCGCTCCCGCCGCTGCTGTCACCACCCCCACTGCCGCCACTAGCCTCTCCAGTCCCACCGCCACCCCCACCGCCACCACTCCCGCCTCCCCCGCCGCCACCTCCACCCTTGCCCCCTTTGCCCCTGCGGCGCCCGCTCGGAGCAGACGCAGCCCCGACCTTCTCAGCACCAAGGAGGTCGACAGCAGCAGCAGAGGCGATAGAGGGGAGGAGAGGGGAAGGGGAACACCCCTCAAAGAACGGGGTGCGGGGGTCGCCACGAGAGGTGCCTACAGCGACGATGCTCGCCTCAGCTGCAAGCAATTCCTTCTCGAGGAGGGCAATGGTGAGCTCAGTGGGAGAGCGAGCGAGGAAGTGGTCCCTGACTGCGCGCAGAGAGTCAGGGAGGCGGGTGACGATGTGGTAGAGCGTGATCCAGAGCGGGGGGGGGTTGCTGGCAAGGAACTCGTCAGGCATAGCAGCGCGAAAGCGGGCCTCACTAGTCCTGAGGTGGGTGATGAGGTCAGCGACTGTGCTGAAGGAGGCGAGGTCGGGGAACAGGTAGGGGAGGGTGAGGCGGCCGAGTGTGGCAGAAGCGGGTGAGGAGTAACGAGCAACGACTGCAGTGTACAGGTCCTTAGCAGTCTTGTGCTGGCCAAAGTGCTCGCGCTCATCTAGCGGTAGGGAGTTGCGAATGGCAAAGCGAGCGTGGGCGTCACGAGTCTGCCACTGGGAGCGCTGAGTGCTGTCAGCAGTGGTAGGAGGGGCAGTAGCATGGCCTAGGGCGTGATCGTACAGTGAAACGTCCTCCTTGGCAGTGAGCTGGAGGAAGAGGTGCAGGTCATCTAGCCAGGTATCGAACTTCACTGGGCGGCCCTCGGCATCGAAAGCGAGTACAGGAGGACTAGCCATAGTAGCGGCAATAGTAGCAGGAATAGGAGCAACAGTAGCAGAAGCAGCAGTAACAGGAGTAGCAGCATCAGTGGCAGCAGGCAGGGGCGGTGCGCAAGGCAGTAGCGCGCGGGCGGTGCACGGGGCAGCAGCGAGCCGCGCGCAGGCTGCGCGGGCTCAGGTCGGGCTGCGCAGGCGGCGCACGGGGCAGCAGTGAGCCGCGCACTGCGCGGGCGGTGAGCGGGACGGCAGCGGGCGGCGTGCGGGCTGCGCGGGCTCAGCGCGGTGCGCAGGGCGGTGAGTGTGGGGCCGACGGGGCCAGTAGGGGCGATCGCGGGGCCGACGGGGTCGCTAAGGGGCGAGCGGCGGGGCCGTAAGGGGCGAGCGCGGGGCCGACGGGGTAGTAAGGGGCGACGCGGCGGGGCCGTAAGGGGCGAGCGCGGGGCCGACGGGGCCGTAAGGGGCGGCGCGCGAGTTGCTAAGGGGCGGGTCGCGGGTCGCGGGGCCTTAGGGGGCCGTTAAAAAAAAAAAAACGAGGCGCCCTAGGTAGGTAGGTAGGTAGGTAGGTAGGTAGCGGTGGGCCCTAAAAAAACGGTCCTAGCGAAGGACCTGCTCTGAAACCATGTCAGAATAAACGGACAGGAATGAATGAACTAGCAGTGAAACGAGTACAAGTACCTAACCCTAGAATTGTGTACCCCCTATAGGCTAACCCACTGTAGCCTAAACAAGCACAACACATATAATGTTTGACACTAGCAGGAAGATGGGTACAAGTAGGAAACCCTAATTTGGGTTGTACCCCATATGGGCTACCCCACTACAGCCTACACAATGAGCAGCATATATGTTTGACAAATTTGTCCACAAAATCTTCACATCTGCACCGAGGTAAAAAACAACAAAACCGGGTGTTAAAGCCCGCGGCCCAAATTGCGGGCCGCGAGCGTCAAGCTTTTAAAACTTGACGAAGTGCAATGTGCAACTTTTGAAAAGTGCCGCACTTGCAATTTGGGACTTTCAGGGACAGACCCAACCCCCTTGGCGAAATATGAGGGAGTGCTGGGTTTGGCGAAACTAACGAAGAAGACGAAATCGGGAATCACTCGCCTAATCCCAGCCCACAAAAACCCCACGCGTCAACTTTTAAAAGCTTGTGCATCTTGGGCCGCCGGCTTTAAGTCCCACTGAAACTGAGCGTTGAGCGGAGGGGTCCTTGCAAATGGCGTCGGTGTAGAAAATCGATGACGGAAAAACTTTCAAGTGCGAACACACATAACTAGACCAAAAACCGCGGCAGAAAATTCATGTTATTTGAAGTGAACATTAGAGTCTTCACGTCACCCGAATCAGGCGATATCTTCAGCAGTTGCAGCTGGCAGCACCTGACGTGGTTGAAATTCAATCGTTTGTCATGGGCGGGTCGAGTAGAGTGGTTTATCGTTAGTAGAGCTAGAACTAACCGTCCTGAAATCCTCTGGCCATGAAATTAGGAGCATTATGAAACCTCGGTTGTGAAGGCGATTGGTAGCGAATTTGAATATGCGAGTTGGCGATGGTCGTTGCAATAGTGATCGGATAAAAATATCACTCAGGGAAAAATTGTCGAACGCGTTATCTGTGTCAAATGACTTCAGCACCTCCTGCGGTTTTCTCCAGACTCACCGAGAAGTTTGTTGCAATACGCCGAGGGCTCCTGGGCGTAGATGAAAATTTGCTGCTGCCGCCTCCAATTCGTAGTAAGTCGTTCGTACCCCTGAAAAGTCCGTGTAAATCTCGCTGTGTTGCCTCACTTTGTTGTCGCGCACATTTAAGCAAACGACGAATACTCCTCCGAGTTTGTCGGTGCTTCTCGCCGTAAAACTTGTTAAGTCCTGCATAAAACTCCGTATATGTCGGTCGAAAACGCCCCTGTAAATACGCAGTTGTAGGTGCAGTTCGCCTCCGAAAATCTCGGACGTACTATAGCCGCCCACTCGGTGTGAGGATCTAGGATCGAGCTCAGGAAAACGAGTTTGAATTGATTGCTCCCTTTGGGTACAACACGAGGCTATATATAGTCTCGACACAAGGCCAGTAACCAAGTGTTACGCGAAGGTTCCGAGGGTCGCGAAGCGTCCTGAATAGAGCCTTCCCAAATTCGGTAGAAGGCAATTCGGTGGCAACCGAAAGCCTGGAATTCGGTGCACGCAACCTAGCTCGGTGCTATAACTATAATAAAATATAGGAAAGCACCTAGCCTAGGAAATCAAGCAAAAGCATGCATGGAAAAATAAACCTAAGCTAGAAATAGCATAATAAAGTAAAGGCAAGCAAGCATAGATGGTATAAGCCGTTGTACTCACACACGTCACCCCCTCAAAGCTGGGTGGCGTGAGATACACCCTGCTTGACAAGATAGTCATTGAGAGCACGGTGTACGTTGCCCATCGCAGCTTCTTTAACTGTCCTCAGTGGGGTCATATCCCTTCCAGCGTATCAGGAACTCAAGGGTCTTGCCGCCGCAACGCCGATGAGTGAGAACGCGCTCAATTTCGTACGTTGGTTCATCCTCCACGAGAACAAATAGTCGTGGCGGTAGCTGTCGTCCCTCAAACTGTTGTTGGGGTCCTTGTAGGGCTCTAGTAGGTGAACATGGAAAGCGTTGTGAAGCTTCCACGTAGTAGGTAAGCGCAAGCGAAATGTAACTGGTGTCACCTGTGCCTCAACGAGAAAGGGACCACAGAAGCGAGGCCGGAGTTTGGATGGTAGGTGAGATAGATTCAAGTTGCGCGTGTCGAGAAGCACCTGATCTCCGACTGCTACTGAGTGATCTCGTCGTTGGCGATCGGCATACTGCTTCTGGGAGTTCTGCATCGTGGTAAGATGTCGCTGATTCTTCTCCCATAGCTGCTGCAAAGCGGTGACAAAGTAATGTGTGGCTTGGACGTGTGCCGGTGTGGTTGGCTGCTGTGGGGTGAGTGGTTCCCATCCTAACACATGAAGAATGGAGTTTTCCCTATGGCCGCATGCGAGGCGTTGTTGTAAGCGAACTCTAGGGTCGGTAACTGTTGATCCTAGTGGCTGTCGTCGTCTTTGCAAGCTGTGCGCAGTAATTGTTCAACCACCTGATTGAGTCGCTCTATCAGTCTGGGGGTGGTATGCTGAAAAAAACGCAAGCTTAGTCCCTAACAGTACCATGAGCTCCTTCCAGAACTTACTCGCGACTTTTGGATTTCTGTCTGAGATTAGTGTAGCGGGAATGCCGTAGTTTGTGATGATGCGGTCGAAGAAGAGTCAAACATTTGCTTTAGCTGTAGCCGTGGCGTTGGTCGAGATGAATTTGACCCATTTTGGAGAACTTATCGATCACTACGAGGATGATGTCATGCCCTCGTGAGGTCGAAGGAAGTCCTGTGATGAAGTCGAGGCCTACCGTGGTTGCTCCGGTACAGGTAGAGGTTAAAGTAACCCTGGCTTTTTGTGCTTGCTACTCTTCGTTCGCTGGCACGTGTCGCATGAGGTGACAAACTGCTGCACGTCTGCTGCCATCCGGGGCCAGTAGTAATACTTTGCTATCCCTGCTAACGTTTTGTTGCTCCCGAAATGTCCCGCGTATGGTACGTCGTGAAACTCCTCCAGTAGGATCTGCCATAGCAGGGCATATTTTGGCACCCAAAACTTTTATGTTCCCTTCCTTACAACTAAGTCCTTCTCCCACTGTAATAGCTTCTGTTTCTCTGCTGTAGCGATCTCTGCGTCCACGGAGTACCCATGTTGGAATAGACCCTTGAGCAGAGGGTTTATCCCGTCGAGTTGGATACCTACTACATGACTGGGGCGGCTCAACGCGCCAGCCTTGTTGTGTAGCCCGGGATTGTAGACGATATCGTAGTAGAAGTGGGTCCCCAAGAAGTTTACCCACCGCACCTGTCGTTGTGAGAGTGTCAGTTGCGACTTCAGGTATTTGAGGCTGCAGTGGTCAGTGTAAACTGTAGTCTTGGCTCCCTCTTGGAACACCTCCACGCCTTGAAGGCTATGACTATCGCTAAGGCTTCCTTGTCGTGGATGGGGTAGTTCAGTTCTGCTCCGTGTAGCTTCTTACTAAGATAGGAGGTAGTCAGCAAACCGCGTCCGTGATCCTTCATCAGTACTGCTATGACTGCCTGGTCACTAGCGTCTGCTTCAACTACGTAGTCCTTGTCTGGGTCCGGTAGGATGAGTACTGTCGTTGTGGTCAGTGCTGTCTGTAGCTGCTCCATGGCTTGCTGATGAGAAGTATCTCATTTGTAAGGCATATCATTTTTTAACAAATCGTTCAGTGGCGCTGCTATCTTAGCATACTGCGGCACAAACATGTTGTAGTAGTTCGCGAAGCCTAGGAACTGCTGCAACTCTTTCACGTTCTCCGGTAATTTCCACTTTTTAACAGTTTCAATTTTCTGCGGATATACGTATATGCCCTCCACACTCACCATGTGCCCAAGAAATTGCACCTTCTTCAGCGCGAAATTGCTCTTCGACAGCTTTACGTAGAATTTATTTTTCCTCAGGATCTCGAACACCTTCCGCAGATGCTCCACGTGCTCCTTCATGTTCTTGGAGTA